GTCTAAGTTTAGAAAGAATAAAGTTTATAAAGGCTTGAACACTTCCTGGTCTTGCCGGTCTTTGCCGTTCACTCGATAAGGACATTCGGGTGAACAATCATTTTGAGACCATCTTTTGACCTCAAGGTCAAAGCCTCTCTGCAATACTTGCGAGTGATAGCAGACACGACGGCTCTTTTAAGAGCCACTCAACACCTCAGACAGACATCTAACCTGCAGACCCTGGTTGCGTCTCATTGCCGGTGAAAGCTGAATTCAAAGGGAGCTACGACTCTTTCTCGTAGATTCTCATAGTCTCGACGTTCGGTGAACTCACCACTGGGGCTACCTTTCCTCCGGACCGCCGGGAGCGACACATACAAGGGTATCGTAGACTCTGCACACTGGCATTGGATGGTTTTATAAATAAAGTTTAGCTTATCAAACCATACAGCCTAATTGATTTTACTACCCAGACTTCACAAGCTCAATCTCAGATGTTCACAAGGTTCTACTAAAACATCTAGCTTCCATTCCATCACTTTATTCTTCATCTGTTACCTGTATAACTATCATTTCATTCATACTTTGTCATGTACAATCATTTAGTTTAGGAAAATAGAATTAAAATCATTTTTATAAACTATTCTTGACTCTGTCTGGATTAATGTGAAGTGTGTGTTCCCTGAATAAATTCAAATTCAAATTCTAAAATACTTTATTAATCCCAGAGGGAAATTGATTGCTGTAGTAGCTCAGAATAATAATAATAATCAAGTCATCAAAGAGTTGTTGTATATTACAATGGCTGTTGGCAGGAAGGATCTCCAGTAGCGGTCAGTGTTGCAGCGAAACTGAAGAAGCCTCTGACTGAAGACACTCTTCTGTTGTCGGAGTCTTGTGAAGAGAATGCTCAGGGTTGTCCATCATTTTCTTGATTCTCAGGAGAATCTTTCTTTGCATTATCTCCTCCAGTGGTTCCACAGTCGTCCCCAGAACAGAACCAGCCTTTTTTATTAGGCTGTTGAGCCTTTTCAGGTCCCTGCTTCTGATGCTGCTACCCCAACAGACAATGGATGAAGAGATTACACTCTCAACAACAGATGTGTAGAAGATCTGCAGCATCTTGCTACAGACATTGAAGGACCTAAGCGTCCTCAAGAAGTACAGTCTGCTGTGCCCCTTCTTGTAAACAGCTTCGCTGTTCTTTCTCCAGTCCAGTCTGTTGTCCAGGTGAACTCCAAGGTATTTGTATTCCTCAACCACCTCCACTTCTTCTCCCATGATGGAAACAGTGTTCGACTCCACCCTGTTTCTTCTGAAGTCTAAAATCATCTCCTTTATTTTGTTCACATTCAAGGTCAGATGAATGTTTCCACACCATGCCACAAAGCACTCCACCAGCTCTCTGTACTCAGCTTCCTGTCCATCTCTGATACACTTGACGACTGCAGAGTCATCTGAGTATTTCTGTAGATGACAGGTGTCTGATTTGTACTGGAAGTCTGAGGTGTACAGGGTGAAAAGAAATGGTGAGAGTACAGTCCCCTGTGGTGCTCCAATGTTACTGATCGCCTGGTTTGATGTGCAGTTCTTCAACCTCACAAACTGTGGTCTGTTTGTCAGGTAGTCTTTAATCCAGGCGATAGTTGAGGCCCCCACCTGTGTCTTCTGGAGTTTCTGGCAACGTACTTCAGGCTGAATTGTGTTAAATGCACTGGAGAAATCAAAGAACATGACCCTCACAGTGCTGCCTGCTTTGTCCAGATGACAGTGGATTGGTTGAAGCAACTGGATGATGGTATCTTCAATTCCAACTCCATGGCGATAAGCAAACTGCAGCGGGTCCTGATATGTTCTAGTTTGGTTATTCAGGTGGACCAACAGGAGTCTCTCCAGGACCTTCATGATGTGGGATGTCAGGGCAACCGGTCTGTAGTCATTGACTGATGGGCGAGTTTTCTTTGGAACTGGAACAAGGCAGGATGTCTTCCACAGGACTGGAACCTTCTCCTGGGCCAGGCTGAGGTTGAAGAGGTGCTGCAGAATCCCACAGAGCTGCTCTGCACAGGCCTTCAGTACTCTGGGGCTGACACCATCTGGACCTGCAGCCTTGTTCCTGTTCAGTCTCTCCAGCTGCCTCTTCACCTGACTTCTAGAGACAGATAGGTGGGAGGGGGAGGTAAATGGGGCAGCATCATCTCCTGACTTGGTTGAAGACCGATTTATAGGACCAGAAGAGTCCACGATTGTGTTGGAGGACAAAAAAGCTGGTGTGTGACAGGAAAATGTTGGATTAGAGGAGGATGCTGGGTTTGTTCCTGAACTGAACCTATTGAAGAATTTGTTCAGTTCATTGGCTGTGTCCAGGCTGCCATCTGTGCAATCCTTCCTCTGCTTGAAGCCTGTGATCTTCTTCATCCCTGACCAGACATCTCTGATATTGTTCCTCTGTAGTTTGTTCTCCATCTTCTTCCTGTATGCCTCCTTGCTGTCTCTGATCTTGATCTTCAGTTGCTTCTGTATGCTCCTCAATAATTCCCTGTCTCCCTCCTTGAAGGCTCTTTTTTTCTCATTTAGCAGATTCTTCAGTTCACTGGTGATCCAGGGTTTGTTATTAGCGAAGCATCTCACTGTTCTGGTGGGTATTATATTGTCCACACAGAAGTTTATATAGTCAGTGACACATCCAGTCATGGCATTGATGTCCTCTTCATATCCTTGGCAGAGAGTCATCCAATCTGTGGTCTCAAAACAACCCTGTAGGGCTTCTTCAGCGTCCTGTGACCATTTTCTCACAGTTCTTCTTGTCACAGGTTGCCTCTGAACAAGTAGTTTGTATCCTGAGCAGAGAAAAACAAGATTGTGATCTGATTGTCTCAGAGGAGGTCTTGTTTTGGACATGTATGCATTCTTTACATTTTCATAACACAAATCCAATGTCTTGTTTTCTCTGGTGGAGCAGCTGACAAACTGTTGAAATGTTGGAAGTGTAGCAGAAAGCGAGGCATGCTTAAAATCACCAGATAAAGCCACAAAATGCATTGGGGTGCTGGGTTTGTAGCTTAGCGACAACGGAACTGATGGCATCACATGCATTTTCAGCAATGGCTGAAGGTGGAATATAAACGGTTGCCAAGACAACACTGGTGAACTCTCTTGGCAAATAATATGGGCGACAACTTACTGCCAAGAGTTCAACATCTGGGCTGCGGAGACGACATTTCACTGAAACATGACCTGGATGGCACCATCTGTTGTTCACAAGCACTGCCACTCCACCTCCTTTTCTTTTCCCGCTCCTCTTCAGATCTCTATCTGCTCGTACAGTCAGGAATCCTGGCAGAGACGCTGGAATCTGGGATATGGTCCTGCAGCCTCGTCTCACTGAAACACATAACACTACACTGCCAATACTCTGGCTGAGTCCTTGAAAGGGCTTGGAGTTCATCCATTTTGTTGGCCAGTGATCTCACAATGCCCATTATGATCGATGGAAGAGATGGTTTGAATTTCCTCTTTCTCTGTCTCCGTTTTGCTCCCGCTCTGCACCCAAGCTTCTTGCGTTTTAGATCATTTGGGATTTATGGTTTCAGTTGCACATCATAACAAATGCTCAAAAAGTGAAAAAATAGCAGTAAAAATCCTCCAAGCTTCACAGCACCAGAAACAGAAAAATAAAATGTCCAAAAAAAAAAAAAAAAAAGCGTTCCTCCCGAGAAACCAGAAGAAAAAATGTCCAAGAAAAGGAAAACTTACACATAGTCAACAGAGCTACTCCAGCATGCAGCCACCCAGAGCAGCGCAGTCAGTAAGTCAAAGAAACTAAAGTCTTCTGATTAAACTCGGGGTTTGGGAGGACAGAGCTGATGCATAAATAATGAACAGATGAACTGGAATAGGAATAGCCATCTTTTTTTCTTTTTTCAGATTTAAAGTATATATAGATTTATAGACATAGACAAACTGATAATATAAAATAACAAGTAAATCCTAAAAGAATGCTGATTGCTGTTAGCTGAGCAGATCCATCAAGGTAACGTGTCAGTATTTCATGATTTTGGCCAGGGGGCGAACTGGAGCACCCAGAGAAAACCCCCCATGTAACACAAGGAGTGTTTTCTGTGACATAATCCTTGTGTTAACTTTATTTTTTGTACACATGATTAGGTGCATATGGTGATGTGTATAAGGGAAGGGATGTGATTTATAGTCACCCTTGACAGAAGTGCTCTCTTTAGGTTTTTTGTAATATGTAAAAAAACTAACGTAATAGATTATCCATTGCCTAAATAACTAAGTCATATAAGCTAATACCCATGGGTTTACACTTATTTAATCTTCAGAAAGCATTCTTTTCTTATGGACTTGAGTCTACAATAAAGTTTTGAATCTGATCCTCTCATAAATCACTTGTCTAATACAAGTTTTTTTTAGCATTTGTTATGATGTGTAACCATGGCAACAAACTGGTTTACAATCGGGAGCAGCTGATTAACATAGGAAAGGTTGAAATAATACCTCAACTGAAGCCACAAATCCCAAACGAGCTAAAACGGAAGAAGCGTGGATGCAGAGTGGGAGCAAAACGGAGACAGAGAAAGAGGAAATTCAAACCATCTCTTCCATCGATCATAATGGGCAATGTGAGATCACTGGCCAGCAAGATGGATGAACTCCAAGACCTTTCAAGGACTCAGCCAGAGTTTCGGCAGTTTCGGAACCACTGGAGGAGATGATGCAAAGAGAATCAAGAAAATTATGGACAACCCTGAGCATTCTCTTCGCAAGACTGTCCCACAACGGAAGAGTGTCTTCAGTCAGAGGCTTCTTCAGTTTCGCTGCAACACTGACCACTACTGGAGATCCTTCCTGCCAACAGTCATTGTAATATACAATAACTCTTTGATGACTTGATTATTATTATTATTATTCTGAGCTACTACAGCAGTCAATTTCCCTCTGGGATTAATAAAGTATTTTCGAATTGAATTGAAGACACACCTTCAAAATATGAAGACGTTTTCTAAAATTGGGGCATACGTCTCTTAATATTGGAAGAAAGTGTGGGTTTTCTAGGAATAGAAGGAAGTGTGGGTTTTCTAGGAATAGAAGGAAGTGTGGGTTTACTAGAAATAGGAGGAAACTTGGATTTCTCAGCAATAGGAGGAAGCACTTTGTGGTTGAGTGACCCTTGTTCAATGGGTCTCTCTCTGACTGGAAGTCGGGCGGACTCCGTTGGTAGGGGCTGGAGACCTGATGATGATGACTGTGGTTCTCTACTCACCACGCCATCTGAACAGCCAACAGCCTTCTGTATTGTTTTCCTATTTTCAAAATTTTCGGATTGATTTTTGAGAGACATTTTCCCTGGTAAAATGACATCCTTCTTCTTTGGGGATGTTTTCATCTTTCTGCCTTCACCCCCTCGTTTATCGGGAGTTGGCAGGCATCTATTTTCCTTGGGAGAGGTTCGAGCCACAAAAATCTTTTCATTTTTAAACGTAGAGTCCGATGAGCATGATCCATCGCTCCAATCTTCAGACGAGCTTGTTTCACTTTCGCACTCAGAGTTTGATGACCATGGTGAAAGTTCACTTTTTTTGTGTTCAGAAGTCCTGTGGTCATGACCTAGTTCAGACTTAGAGCCTAATGAGCATGAGGCTTCACTTATTTCCCCTTCAGATGTATTTTCATTATCAGAGCTTGACAAATGGAAATTTCTTATCAATTCAACATCACGTGGGTCTATACCATCCAGTAGCAATTCATAGTTTTCTCTTATGCCTGAATGAGTTTTGTGAGATGTTTTCTCTGGTGAAATGACACCTGTGCCCTGTTTATTCTTCTTTGGAGGGGTTTTCATCTTTCTGCCTTCACCCCCTCGTTTATCGGGAGTTGGCAGGCATCTATTTTCCTTGGGAGAGGTTCGAGCCACAGAAATCTTTTCATTTTTAAACGTAGAGTCCGATGAGCATGATCCATCGCTCCAATCTTCAGACGAGCTTGTTTCACTTTCGCACTCAGAGTTTGATGACCATGGTGAAAGTTCACTTTTTTGGTGTTCAGAAGTCCTGTGGTCATGACCTAGTTCAGACTTAGAGCCTAATGAGCATGAGGCTTCACTTATTTCCCCTTCAGATGTATTTTCATTATCAGAGCTTGACAAATGGAAATTTCTTATCAATTCAACATCACGTGGGTCTATACCATCCAGTAGCAATTCATAGTTTTCTCTTATGCCTGAATGAGTTTTGTGAGATGTTTTCTCTGGTGAAATGACACCTGTGCCCTGTTTATTCTTCTTTGGAGGGGTTTTCATCTTTCTGCCTTCACCCCCTCGTTTATCGGGAGTTGGCAGGCATCTATTTTCCTTGGGAGAGGTTCGAGCCACAGAAATCTTTTCATTTTTAAACGTAGAGTCCGATGAGCATGATCCATCGCTCCAATCTTCAGACGAGCTTGTTTCACTTTCGCACTCAGAGTTTGATGACCATGGTGAAAGTTCACTTTTTTGGTGTTCAGAAGTCCTGTGGTCATGACCTAGTTCAGACTTAGAGCCTAATGAGCATGAGGCTTCACTTATTTCCCCTTCAGATGTATTTTCATTATCAGAGCTTGACAAATGGAAATTTCTTATCAATTCAACATCACGTGGGTCTATACCATCCAGTAGCAATTCATAGTTTTCTCTTATGCCTGAATGAGTTTTGTGAGATGTTTTCTCTGGTGAAATGACACCTGTGCCCTGTTTATTCTTCTTTGGAGGGGTTTTCATCTTTCTGCCTTCACCCCCTCGTTTATCGGGAGTTGGCAGGCATCTATTTTCCTTGGGAGAGGTTCGAGCCACAGAAATCTTTTCATTTTTAAACGTAGAGTCCGATGAGCATGATCCATCGCTCCAATCTTCAGACGAGCTTGTTTCACTTTCGCACTCAGAGTTTGATGACCATGGTGAAAGTTCACTTTTTTGGTGTTCAGAAGTCCTGTGGTCATGACCTAGTTCAGACTTAGAGCCTAATGAGCATGAGGCTTCACTTATTTCCCCTTCAGATGTATTTTCATTATCAGAGCTTGACAAATGGAAATTTCTTATCAATTCAACATCACGTGGGTCTATACCATCCAGTAGCAATTCATAGTTTTCTCTTATGCCTGAATGAGTTTTGTGAGATGTTTTCTCTGGTGAAATGACACCTGTGCCCTGTTTATTCTTCTTTGGAGGGGTTTTCATCTTTCTGCCTTCACCCCCTCGTTTATCGGGAGTTGGCAGGCATCTATTTTCCTTGGGAGAGGTTCGAGCCACAGAAATCTTTTCATTTTTAAACGTAGAGTCCGATGAGCATGATCCATCGCTCCAATCTTCAGACGAGCTTGTTTCACTTTCGCACTCAGAGTTTGATGACCATGGTGAAAGTTCACTTTTTTTGTGTTCAGAAGTCCTGTGGTCATGACCTAGTTCAGACTTAGAGCCTAATGAGCATGAGGCTTCACTTATTTCCCCTTCAGATGTATTTTCATTATCAGAGCTTGACAAATGGAAATTTCTTATCAATTCAACATCACGTGGGTCTATACCATCCAGTAGCAATTCATAGTTTTCACTTATGCCTGAATGAGTTTTGTGAGATGTTTTCTCTGGTGAAATGACACCTGTGCCTTGTTTATTCTTCTTTGGAGGGGTTTTCATCTTTCTGCCTTCACCCCCTCGTTTATCGGGAGTTAGCAGGCATCTATTTTCCTTGGGAGAGGTTCGAGCCACAGAAATCTTTTCATTTTTAAACGTAGAGTCCGATGAGCATGATCCATCGCTCCAATCTTCAGACGAGCTTGTTTCACTTTCGCACTCAGAGTTTGATGACCATGGTGAAAGTTCACTTTTTTTGTGTTCAGAAGTCCTGTGGTCATGACCTAGTTCAGACTTAGAGCCTAATGAGCATGAGGCTTCACTTATTTCCCCTTCAGATGTATTTTCATTATCAGAGCTTGACAAATGGAAATTTCTTATCAATTCAACATCACGTGGGTCTATACCATCCAGTAGCAATTCATAGTTTTCACTTATGCCTGAATGAGTTTTGTGAGATGTTTTCTCTGGTGAAATGACACCTGTGCCTTGTTTATTCTTCTTTGGAGGGGTTTTCATCTTTCTGCCTTCACCCCCTCGTTTATCGGGAGTTGGCAGGCATCTATTTTCCTTGGGAGAGGTTCGAGCCACAGAAATCTTTTCATTTTTAAACGTAGAGTCCGATGAGCATGATCCATCGCTCCAATCTTCAGACGAGCTTGTTTCACTTTCGCACTCAGAGTCTGATGAAACAAATGAACTTTTATCGTTGTCATCTTCAGATGACCTACTTTGATAATCATTATCAGAGACTGGTGATCGTGTTTCTGCATTCTCATGAAACATGTCATCGTCATCTGAACCCGCATAGCATGGCTCATCAGTTTCAGATGAACCTGGATCCTTCTCCATTGTTTGCAAGATTCTCACTTTGCCAGCTAGATCTTCAGGAGAACTTTTCAATGCTAAAGTTAACTTTTCAGGTTTTTCCATCTCTTTCATTCCAGGAGACATCCTAGAGCCTGACTTCTTATTTTCACCACTGAGTTGCTTAACTTGTATTTTGAGCTCCTCACATTCCTTCTCCAGCGTGTCTTTCTCTTTCTGAATGCGTTCCAGCCTTTCCTGGCAAAAAAGAAGCTCTACAGTGGTTTCTCCAAGCTTCACAAAGATGTCTGGGTCTTGCTTAATTTGAACGCTTGCCTGGTTTTCAAGCTCCTTTTGAAGGTTTTCCTCCAACTGCCTAACTTGGTTGATGTATTTTTTAGTTTCTTTTTGTGTATCCAGTTTCAGCTGTGCCAGTTCCTCGTCGTGTCTCTGTTTCATCTCCTTAAGTTTCTCTTTAGTGTGAGCAACGTTCTTTCTTGCGGTGGATTCGTTTTCCTCTTGTTTATTTGATAGCATTTGTTTGCAACTTTCGTTGGCCTCATACTTTTTCTTCAAAGAGTTAACTAAAATCTCCAGTTGTTGATTTATTTGTTTCAGCTCCTCAGAGTTTCTCTCGGCACTTATTTTTTCACGCTCAGCCTTAGCCAGGTCTTCATTAAGGCTTGCAATTTCTTCATTGCACTTTGAGCGCTCTTTTCTAAGACCAGAAACCTCCTCAGAAAGTGCAGCTTCCGATTTCTGCAACTCTTGAATTTGTTTTCTGTAAGAATTGATCTCTTCTTTGCTGGGGCTGTCTTTCAGTTTATTTTTCAGCTGCTGAATTTCTCTGTCAGCCTCCTTGTTCTTTCTAGTTAATTCTTTATAATCAACCTCCATTTCTAGAGCCCTCTCTTCAACCTGACTCAAGTCTGTCAACGGTTTGTGGAGTTTCGGGTCATACACTGTCTCACTTTCTTCAGCAAGGTCCTTTATACTTTCCTCAAGTTGATCAATTACACCAGACAAGGCCTTCGCCTTACCATTTTTGACTCCGATTTGATTTTTCCACTTACCAAATTCATTGAAGGTTGACTGTAGATGCGAAATATGTTTGTTATACTGCTTGAATTTGATCACAGCTCCCTTGACCAAATCCTCTGTTTCATTAGCACAAACTTTTGCATGTTTAAGGTCCTGCTCTGCTTTCTGTGCTCTCATTTTTGCAGACTCTAGCTCAGTCTTGAGGTTTTCAACCTGTTTAGAGAGATCTGACACCTCCCTGTCTTTGAGTTCAACTGCCATTTGATCCTTACTGAACTGTAATTTTTGTTCAATTTCGTGCGTATAAATTTTCATCTGCTCATTTAGCTGACATATTTTTTGTTCACTGTCTATGATTGCGTTTTGCAAAGCAGTGATACAATTTCCACTAAACTGAAAGGTGTCTGATGGCTTCTGAACGCTCCAGGCGAGTTTCATTTCAACCTGAAGAAGTGCTGATCGCACATGCTCTCTTAAGTTGCAGATGAGACGGTCCTTATTCTTTTCCAGGTCTTTCTTGGCTGTTGCTGTGATTGCGTTAATTTTATTACAGGTGTCTTCAACTGTGTAATTAGTCTGATACATTTCAAGAAAGCTTTGGCTTCTTTCATAATTCACTTGACTTGTAAAGTCATCAGATTCATCTAAAGTCTTCTTCATATTGTAAAACTGTGTTGCCATCATTCCCATATCTTCCTTGTACTGTTCAAGACAGCGTTTCAATTCAATATTCTGTGCTTCTAATCTGTCGTTCTCATTCTTCATTTTCACAGCATTCGTCAAACTTTTCTGAAGCTCATATTGGGATTTCTCAAGTTGTTCTATGAAATAAGCGTTCCTTTCGGACATCCAGCCATCTTCTGGATTACAAGAGTGTTGCATATCTGTGTAAAGATGATTGTTTTTCATTTCATCTTCAATAAGAAATGATATTTTTCCTAAACTATTTCCATAACGCGGGCTGTCGTCTTGTTTCAACAAACCTAATGTTGAGTTCATCTCTTCCACTCTTGAGAACATTTTGTTTGAGCAACAAGTTGAACCAACAACTTTTCCTGCGATTGTTCTTTAAATTACTCACCAGTGATCAGAAACTGATTTCTGAAGTGAGAGTATAAAAAAACTGAACGCAACTGAACAGTAGACAGAACTAACTGACAGTGATGTGTCACTGTCCTTTGATCTAGCTGAGTGTTGTGGCAACCAGACCCTGCCTACAGAATGACGTCATAAAGAATGGAATGTACCAAGTGATGATGCATGAATCAACTAACATTAACATTGATAATAATGTTATTTTGAATGGAATGTACCAAATGATGATGCATTGTGTCATAAAAATATTCATATTTAGTTCCCGAAGTTAAAATATATAAATATTTGTTTGTATCGTAAATCTGTGTTTTATTTTGGAACAAGTGGTATCTTCCTCATCGAGTTACCGCGAGATTTGATGTGAGATGAGACTTGTATGTGCATAAAGAAGCACGCAGACCGCTTTGTCTGAGCCATCTGCAGCATCTGCGCTGCCAATTACTCGAGGTAACTTGTTGTATTTGTGTGTAATATTGTAAATATTTGTTATGCATAGTATTGCAATTAATTTGTGTGTTAATTTAGAATGTGGAAGACTAATTGTACTCAACTTGGACCTCCGAAGTGGCACGCGGCCATGAGGTATTTCCTTTTTTTAATTTATTTATTTTTTTGCTAAAGCACATGTTCTGTCTTCAAAGAATGAAGCGTCTGAAGCTACTGTTTCTCAGTGTGTAGTTTTCACGGCGTTTAATAAACAAGGCTAAGCGCCTGTCGTCAGGAAGCCGAGCCAGTGTGGTCATTTCGGAGTAACATGCATTAATCAACTAACATTAACATTGATATTAATGGTATTATGAATGGAATGTACCAAATGATGATGCATGAATCAACTAACATTTATGGTCACACCAGACAAGGCCTCTGTCTTACAATTAATTAATTAGTAATTGTCTGGTGTGACCATAAATGTTAATGTTAGTTCATTCATGCATCATCAATTGTACATTCTATTAAAGTGTTAATTAATTTATTAATTAATTAAATAATGTAGCAATTAAAACATATTAATTATGACCAATAAGATGTGATGATTCCATATAAATATGAAATGTCAATCTGATTGATCTTTGAATGTTTAATCATAAGATTCCAGGGTTCTTTACTTTAGTGACCATAAACACACTTCGTATTAATTCAGACAGAGTCAGTATATAAATGGAAAAAATGTTGGAAGTGCTGCAGGGGTGTAACAAATTTTATCTGGTGCTCTCAGTGGTGCTCCTCAGCCAAAGGATCCACATGAATGTTGGGCAAAAGGAGATCTGAGGCACTCAGGAAATGCAGAAAAATTCTATTTTACATCTCTTGAGTGCCTCAGATCTCCTTTTGCCCAAGAGTTAGTATATAGTTTATAAAATTAATTTAATTATTTTTCCTAAACTAATAATTTATACATGACAAGATATGAATAATGAGATGTGAGGTGTTATGATGGAAGCTAGATGTTGTAGCAACCGTTCTTTGTATCTGACAGAAATTGTGAAATCTGGGTGTAAAAGAATTTGTTGTTTGGTTCTAAACTAGAGAGTTGTTTATTAATAACAGCATCACATGCATTCTGTCGTGCCAAGTCTATGCACCCTTGGTGTGGAGGTTCTCGTTCGATCCGGGGGGTCGTGCGGGTCGCTGCCTGTGGAGTGAACCTCTGATATCAGGAACCCGTAGCCAGTTCCGATAGGACCCGTCCGGTCTGAGATCACTTGAGGTGAAGGCTAAAAGCTGGAATGCTTATTTGCATCTAAGGCTGATGTTTGCTTGGCTCTTAGAAGAGCCGGTTGTTTGTTATCAGCCGCAGCGTTGCAGAGAGGCTTTGACTGGAGGTCAAAGGACAAGATGGTTTCAAAAATGCTTGTTTCCTGAATTGGCCGGTTCGAGGGTCAGCGAGAAACTGAATTACTCGGGAAGTAATTCTTGTTTTATTCAACTACTTTGTTATGATTCCTGGCCAAGTTTGGCAAATCAGAATTTGACACGTTTCTGAGTTTTTACCAACATCCCTCAGAAAAGCCACGTCCTCCTCAGATACAAAGATGTTTTTAACACTGTAAATGAGAATGATCAAAACCTTATGTGAGGTGCATTTTAACCTTGATGAGTATCTTATTGTAATGTGTATGAGTGCAAACAATGATTAACTTGTTAAATCAAACACATACTGATTAGTGATATAAATGGATCATTGTAAGAACAATATTCATTTTAAAGCCATCATTGGTTTAAGCACAGGTTATTCAAACATTTCTTTTAAACATCTTGTTCATCCATCACATATGATTATTGTAAGCATATGAGTTGTAAAAGTCATGGAGTCTTCACTTGTTCAGAGTGAAGAATGTTGACGTCTGGCTTTCATGCAGAGAGTGTAGGACTTTGGGAGAGAATGTTTGTCTGGGTGTTTTGTCTTCTGTATGTAAACACGCACTGAACAGAACCTTCTGGGTTTGGAAGGCCAAACAGAAAGTGGATTTATTTCTGTAGACGAAAGTTTATTATGTTGGTCAATATATAGGTGAAAGTTGACCCTTTTGGATGTTACATTAATTAATTAATTTAATTATTTAATTATTTATCTGTTAATTGATTGATTATTAAATACAATTAATTACCAAGTATATTAAGTAATTCATTAACACTGGTCATTAGATTATTACTGTTTTTGCCATAGGAACTTTTATAGTTGTGGATTACTGTCACATGGTAACAGACCATAACAACAGCAAGAAGCAAGTTTAGCTTTTTTTAAAGGTATTTATAAAGTATATTATAAAGGTTAGATAACTGCTTCATAAATTAATGCTTCATTCACAGGAGCCACATAGCCCCAACTTTTTTTTCTTCTTGCAACTCCCTGCCCCATTCCAGGCCCCTCCTGCCTGTCCCGAGTGCCGCTGGGGTGATCACCCCAACTTCAAGAAAGAACATCCTGAATATGTTCTCCCTTTTTCTCCTTCTTATAATGTATTACTCAAGTATAGTATCTGGACTTTGTATGGGCGGATACTTTAAATTTATCGTGTCAGACTTGGAACGGGAGCAAAGTTATGTGATCGAAATAGTTTGAATTGAGTTGTTTCATATTTTGTGAAACTGTTGTATTGTTCCTCCAGGGAGCCTCACAGCCTGCAGTTAAACCTTGTCCAAACCGTTATGCTCCTGTTGCTGGATACTTCTTCTTCCCTCTGCTCAGGAATTATGACAAGTATGTCTTTTAGTTTATGGAACCTCATTTTTTTTTAAGAACAAGAGTCAAAATTTATGTGTGAAAGCTTTTAAGAGGAGATTTTAAAACATTAACATCTTTTTTTTTTCAGGCCAGAGGTGACATTTGACTTGCTGGGCAGTGACCACCTGGTACTGGGCAGGTTGATCCACACTCTGGGTCTCTTTATGCATCTGGCTGTCAATGCACCGGTAGTTTTGATTACCTTTTTTCTTATTCATTCTCTTTGTCCATTTCTTCACTTTTTCTTCATTTTATTATTTACATTGACTTTTATCATATTTTAAAATCTTTTCAAATTTATTTTTATTTCATTTAAAAATTTTGCTCTTGTGAAGCGCTATTTAAAAGATTGCTTCTTCTTCAATAATGTGTATTCATTAGGGGTGTAACATTGGGGGGGGGGGGGGACCATTTCGTACCAATTCAGTTAATTTTTTTCTGTAAAATAATGACTTTTTTTTTTTTTTTGCTTGATTTAAGTGCAGCATATAAAAGTTCCTAGGCGAGTTTCCGCATGGACACTATTGAGTGAAGCATGATGGCCGCACCCGCCCGATCTCCGTTTAAAAATGTGATCTGCTAATTCTGATCAACGACTTTCAGAGTGTATCAAACCAGCTGGCTGTCGCTGCTACTGTGGAGCCTGTAGAGAAGCTGAACGGAGCGTTGCGTCGTCCCTCCTTCCCTTTTTTCACTCTGTGCAGGCTCGCAGCGGCAAAAATGTAAACAAATACATCTGCAGAACTTTTCCCCTGGGACAATTGATGTAAAGTTTTCATCCTACAACAAAAAATACGGTGTGGAGGAAGCTCGTTATTTAATATGAGTTTTGAATAGGGCTGCACGATATTAGGAAAACCTGCGATATTCGATAACAGTGCTCAGTCACCCATATCAATATTACTTGGGATAAATGAACAAATACTAAAGTATGCAGTGTTTATGTTGTCTGGCGTGTGACGTCTGCTCTGGGTTCAAAGTAAACAAAAACTAATGCATGATTTCCATTACAACATAACATTTTTATTGCAAAAATATGCAGGTGCACCTGCTACTGTATTGGCTGCTAAACAACAAACTGCATGCAGTTTCTCAGTGACTTTAAAACATCACCTCCACCATAAAACCTTTTCTGATGCTCCAAATACAGAAAAACATCCCTTACCAGGGTTTTAGAATAAATAAAAATGTCTGAATATAACTTTAAATGTTAAATAATAGTTAACATCATTTAAATGCAACAGCAAATTCTCTCTCATTGCTACAGAACATTTTCTCCACTTATGTGGTTATGATATAAGGCTGTTGCTGTAATTGGAAAGTGAACTGTGCTGGGCCAAACTAGGAGAATATTAAGATTTTCTGAGTGAAAGAGCAAAACAATTGTCTACCTTTCAGAAGAGGAACTGGCAAAAAACTACATGGAAAATGTGTGAAAACGTTTGTTTTTAACCCCAAATTGAACAAGTTTACCTAGATCTTAAAAAGCAGCTCAGATGATGAAACTGCAACTATGATTCTGATAACAAGCTAACAAATTGAACTAGCTCCTCTAAGATAACCGGCTAGCAGAGCTTCTGACTGACAGTTTATGTGCAGCAGCAAATCAACTATCCTGATTAAGAAGGTTATAAAAGCTCATAAATGAAAAATCACTTTGATGTGTGGGGGAACTTTTCCAGGCCCTCTTTAGCAGGGTAGGACTGGGAGGAGAGTGCTGTAGCCTTTTAGCTGGAAGCTAACCGGAGCCTGGGGCTAACATCACCACCCGGTGGAACACTAGCGACGTGAAGGTGGGTTGGTTCACCAGCACGTGTCGGAGTCAATCCGGTAAAAATGATTAACGAAACCGAGCGGACTCATGTTCATGTTTGAAAGCAGTGCTGAATCCAGAAACCTCAGCACAAAGTGTGTTCGTTGCTCTGAGCCAGAATGGCGAACAAGGGAACGGCGCCGCTTACTGAGTTCGGGTGTTGCTTTCCATTCTAAGGGTCTACGTAGGGGGCAGGCGTATTACATAAACTGACCCATCTAATTGGCCGCATATCGGAAGGGCTACATTTGATTGGTCAAATAATACTTCCACGTAAAAAACAGCTGGTTTAAAAAAAGTTGATGTATAACACAGATGGAAATGTTTGAATCAAACAGTTATCGCCGTTTTTGACGTGTTTTGCGATGGGCCTATCACACGTCCTGTTATCGCGATGACGATAATTTTTCGATATATTGTGCAGCCCTAGTTTTAAAGAAGAAACTGTGCGGTGTGAGGTGAGTTTTTAAGGCTCACTGCAGAAATAAAAACATGGAGCATCAGCAGTCAAACACAACACTTGTCTGTATGAGCGTGACACTCATAGCTGCGCAAATCACCTGTGAAAGACATCATGTTAGATCAGCAGCCTGTGATGACACCTGGTCCTGCTCACTATAAAAGCTGCTTCAGATATTCAATAAATAAATACATATAATAATAATGTTCCAAAAATTAATCGAACGGAGCTCTTAAACACTGAACCGAACCGAATATGAATTTAGCTGACCGTTACACCCCTAGTATTCATGCTTTACATCTAGCTCATTTAAATGTTTATTTTGCAGATGGCTGCACAGATGGGTTGTGCTTTGCTGGACTTTGTGTGGGCAGTTCGGTACCATGCTGACCAGTACGTCTGATCCAAAATCTCTGTGTAAAATTATCTAACTACATTTTGTTGTGTTTTTGTAAGCGCTTAATCTGCTGTATGTTTCTTTAAGGATGGTGAGAAGAGGCGTCCTCTTTGCTGTCTGCTCCGTCTTTCTGAGCATGCCCAGTCAAAACATACTGCTGGACCTCAGCGACCAGCTGTTTGAGACCAGAACTTGGCTCGCAGGTAAATTTAAATATTGTGAAATAAAGAGTTTAAAGAGCAAGTCACCCACCTACCAGAGTCTTACTCCACTCCCACTTCCTGTTTGAAAAATGCAACAAATGCTGTTGCCTGGGAGACCAAGAGGGCTGAGCCACTGATAAATACACACACACACGGGCTCACAATGACATTGTGACATCATGATGTACCAGCTAATGTCATAGTAGGAGGCTCTTGAATGTGTTTTATCAGGGGATTATGGCCAGTGTGTTGTTTTATGCTGTGTTGTGTTGGGGCAGGAGCCTCACTGCTGAGGACAAAAACAGGATCAACAAAATGATCAAGAAATCTGGCTCAGTGGTTGGGCAAAGCTTGGACTCCTTTGATATGATCATCGACAAAAGGATGAAGAGTAAACTTAAGACAGTTATGTCTCTGGAGGATCACCCCCTTCACCAGATTTTTAAGGATCTCAGGAGCTCTTTCAGTGGACGAATGTTAATGCCCCGGTGCTCCACTGAACGTTTTAGGAACTCTTTTATTCCAGCTGCAGTGCGTTTTTACAATGAGCATTTCGTATGATTGTATATTTGATATTTTTATATTTTATCAGGACCAGTGAATGTTTTATTGTGTGGATGTGCATGTTGTGTTTACTTGGCCAAGGCAATTCAATTTCCCCCTTGGGGATTAATAAAGACAACCTTGAACCTTGAATAGTATACCCCTTAGCCAAAAGCGATGACTTAAATTCAAATGCATTGAAGAGTTTTTACCTGAAGATGGCACAATAATTTTAGGCAGAATATGTCAAATTTAACTAAGGTGCACTCAAGTGCCAAATTGTGGACTACATGTGTCTAAGACACAATTAGACTTCATTTATATAGTTTTATCAGCAAAAAGAAAAGTTGATTTGGGGGTGACTTGCTCTTTAAATAGTCTAAACTCTAACAACAACAATAATAAAGTGAAGCCTAAAAAATCCCATATGTTTTCGTATAGAACATCCGTGTTAAAGGGACTATAAGGAAGTTTAACAACCAATACATGTGGAGAAATGTAAAATATATTCCTCGTACATTCTCCTGCAATGCCCTGGTCCTGTAGAATGCTCCCTGGCATTTTAGGGTTGGGCATCAAGCATCGGTTGAAACTGGGACCAACTGTTAGTTTTTCGTGGAATCGTTCAGTTTTTTATGTCTATTCCTAGTTTCGATTCCTAGAACGCCGACCGGAAGAGGAATTCGCGGCCGATCTTCTTGGAAAAAAACGTGATCTGCAAATTTTGATCAACGCTTTTCAGAGCTGATCACACCAGCTGTCTGAGTGCAGCACCGAGTCCCCCCTCCTCCCCACCCGGTGCGTAGCAGCCAGATATAAACAAACACGTCTGTCAAACTTTTACTCCTTAATGTAAACTTTAACTCCTGCAGCATAGAGGAAACTTGTTAAATACGTCAACACGGTGGATTTAATAGAAGCTTTAAAGAACAAACTCTGGACGGTGCTGTTCAAGAAAATTCTGGTAATGCAAATGTGACAGAGTCTGTGAGAATGAAGCGAGCAGGAGGTCTGAGCTATGTCCCATAACAGAATGGTTTGGATCGCCACACCAAATCTGCTCTAATATCACTTTTATTTATACTTTTAGAATTGATTTTACACATAAAAGCATTTTGGGCCATTTTAATTATACTAATTAATCGTTTTAACTAATAAAATAGTTATGGGGGAAAGGGTTGATGCTTTTAATGCAAGCTGGGTGCTGACTCAGCTGTTTTCGTTCAGGAGTGTGCACATACAGCATGCGCGCCTCATGCACGAGCTTACTATTGAAACTGCAGTTACAGTTGGCCCTGAGGGGGCAGTCGCGAGCATAACAATGTCAAACTCCTTATAGTCCCTTTAAAGATAAAAATAGACTTATCTGAAATGCTGTGGTGAGGATTTAGCTTCAAAGCTGCACCTGGATCATGTATTTCTGCCATCAGTATCCTGTCAGTGACACACGCAACACATGCATGGCTGGATCGAGCATTTCTGGGAAATACATGGGTAACCAGGATGTCCTGTACTGCACAGCTGTCTGTGAGCTGGCTGGCTAAACTGCTGGGATTTTATTTATTAGCTTTATTCACTCAAGCAGTGAACCAGAACTGCTTACCACTAAGGGCATGCATTACATTTTGGAAATGGTAAATTGTGCAAACTGAGATCTAACATTCGTTGCTGCATGATTTCAACTCTCTGGAACATTACAAATCTTTCTGTGCCATCACTGTCCACAGATGTGGCTGAAGGAGACCCTGATGCAGACTGCAGGAGTTTAGCCATGCAGAGTCTGGTGCTGCTGGATAAGAGCCTGAAGAAGCAGCTGCAAGATCAACAGGCACAGAGTCTGGAGTCATGATCACAACACAGAGCAATTAGAATTGTGTCTACAGAGACGAACACTGGTGACGAGAGATGAGCTTCATAGAGACTAGATAACTATTGATGTTGAAAGTTCTGCCTGAAGTTTATTTCCTGACGCAAAGGTCTGGTCTGCCAAAAATGGATGGTACTGGTTATGTGCTGAAGGCTGTTCTTTGAGCTCAAAATCTGCTACTGCAGGTGTTTCAGTATTTTACACATCCTGAAACAATTAGCTCACCAGTGGGGACAAAGATACGTTCATGAGAACCTACATATTCACCACTTTGTACGTGTTAAGAAGTATTTAGTTTGTTTAAATCTTTGGATTTTTGAGTGAAAAACCCACATGGTGTCCCTTTTGCCCAGAATTGTTTTAAGTATTAAAATTTTAAATGACTTAAACATATTTTCTGTTTGAAGATTTCCTTTGAACATGTGTGTGCAGACATGCTTGTACAGTAACTACTATTACTTTTGACCCATCATTGTCATTGAAACTAGTTTGTATAGTTTCACCATTAAAAATGTTGAATTAATTATTGATACAAATCTTTATTCACACTTTTTGAATAGTTCCACCAGAGCAGGAAAGTTTATTTCTAACAAAATAAACCAGTTTTATTTGAATAACAGTCTCTCAGTATTATGATCTTTAACCAAGTCATCCTCACTAAGGTCACAGGGGGCTGGTTTGTCTACCTCCAGCAGTCTTCAGGTGGGGTGGACACCCTAGACGGGTCACCTTCACAGGGATACACATTCAAACTTACTGTCATACTCCATGCAGAAAGATCAGCTGGGATTCGAACCTGTGACCTTGCTGCAATGGAACTGAGAAAACCAATGTTCCACCTTGCAGCTCAACACAACTTCTAAAGCCTAAAAATGAAAAAGTAAAAATTAAATTATATCTGATATATGTAGGCGAAAGGGGAAAAAACTACTGTTACCTTATTGATCCCATTCGGCAGCAGCTCGTCATCCCTCGTTGCTTTCCGTAACCCCGCCTCCTAGTCCTCCCACCGACGTTGTCAGGGGCAACTAGGAGAGACGCTTTTTTTACTCACACAGGAGGGTACACAACCGCTGAAAACGGCCCGTGTTTCGTTATTTTAGTTTGTCTGGACAAGAGTTTCGTTCATGTAAAAAAGTGACACAAAAGTAAGTTTTTGTAAGCTTACCGAAAGGTAAGGTAATTAGTTTCAGCCCGCGAGGGTCACCCGCTAACATTGGCTACCAACGCTAATGCTAGCGGCTAGTTGAAGCTAAAATGGGTTAGCCACTTGTCACATAATGATATTTTTACTGCATGAGGGCTCACTTTTACGTTCTACAGTCTGGTATCGGTTAATCTATGCACATCCCCCCGCATCCAGGTAAAGCGGCCACATACAAAAATACATTAGTGTGTACATATCAAGGTGGATTTAATGGTGAACTTGTAATTAGTGAATGTCCAGAATAGCCAGAGTCGCGAAGCTGTGAAAATTAAAAAAATGTAAACAAAAGAACGCATCGATTCCCTTTAGGTATTTCACCCAGCTGGCACCATCACTTGTGTTTATACAGAGAGGGGGGACATGGCGGTGTATTTTGACTACCGTATCGAGGCACCTGAAAGCAGCGATGTGCCCTCTCACCTCACATGGCACTCGAGCTTTCCCCTGTTGGCTGTGGCTTCTAGCAGCCCTGCTTCTGGAGGCAGCGTGAACCTCTACCTACAGCAGGTAAGAAATAGTGACTGGGCTTGCTTCTCTGAACGGTCTTGATCCCATTAACCAGCCCTGTCTTAATTACAGGGAGAGCAAGTGGAGAGCTGCCATGTAGAGCGACCCCAACAGCCCACTAATTTGCGCTGGCACCCCTTAAAACCAGTATTGGCACTGGGCTGGGAGAATGGAGAGGTAGTCCTGCTGACACACCCATCTGGAGATCAGACGGTTCTGCCCAGCTCACACACATCCTGCATCACATTGTTGGAGTGGAGCACCTCTGGTAGCCGTCTTGTAACTGGTGATCAGGTAGGTTGTAGGTGCAACATAGAGATATAGGTGTTTGTGTGCGCATCTGAGACTGTAAATTATTTTCTATGATGTTAGCATGTTTTTGTCTCTTACAGACTGGTGTTCTAGCAGTATGGAAGTTAGATGCCAGAGGAAGACTTATAGGAAACCATCTAATCAGGCATGAATACAACAAACCTTTAACTTCCTGCCTCTTCAAACCCGCCTCTCCTGGCGAGTAAGTAGTGTCCAGTTCTTCTTCCTCTGGTGAATCTATGAAACATTAATTTATCACCTGGTCGTCATGAAAGAAAATTGCAATCATGTTGGTCAGTAAGGCTCAATGTATTCACACTTCTAAATGCAATAGAAAGAACAAAGCCAGACTCAAACAAATCCTTGAAGTTTAATTGAACACAGACTGATGGTAGCCTCTAACTCTCCCAACAGTGATGTGCTGATGTTAGCTCGGGCGTCAGTGAGTGGAGATGAAAATGCTCTAGACATGTTCAGCTGGAATGGTGCACCTCTGAAGATGGGCCCACAGGAAGGACTTGCATTCTATGTCGGCACTGCTGATGGTAAAAGTTTCATTTGAGTCTTTTTTTTTCTTCTTCATGTGCATTTTGTTATGTTCATTGATTATTTATCCCAATGTTACACAGGGAAAGTCCATGTTGTGGATGAGCATTGTCAGACCAGCACTCTTCTCACCATAGAAGGCTCCATCAAGAAACTTTTCTATTTTGAGAAAAGAAAGGTGTTTGCTGTGATCACAGAGAATCTGATGTTGTCACAATACATGCTGGGACCTGAAGGTGGAGCTCAGGAATTCATGAAGGTTTGTTGTTATTTATACTTTTATCTCATATATTGAAAAAAGGTTCTACTGTTCAAAGATCTAGGTTCTTTGCTGCTTCAGTGATCAACCACACTTCGTGTTACTTCAAGAAAGAGTCAGGTTTATAAAAGTAAGAAATTTATTTTACAAACAATTTAAAACACGACTAATTAACTAAGCATTTACTGTGGGTGGATGTAACTAAATGTGATGAAGGAACCTATGTGTGACTGCGATGTCAGTCAGAGCTTCCTTATCAAAGAAAGCTGAGTTCTGGTGAAAAGAATTTGGTTTGCTCTAAGCTATAAAGTTGTTATCATCAGAAGAACATCCAGACGCAATCAATCTGTCGTGTCTACTCCACCCATTTTGGAGAGACCTTCTTGGTGGATCCGAATGTCACAGTGGTCGGCTGACCTCTGGCACCGGAGATGTCTCGGGTCACAACAGCTGGATGGAACCGTGCGTCTGGCGGACTCTTAAGGAGTCTAACAATATCAGCTTTGTTTTTGCAGGAACTGTTTGCTCACCAGCTTTGCAGGTGCAAAAAAAGGTTTTGACGAAGTGTCAAAATCTTTGATGGTTAAAGAGGTTTTGCTACAGATAGCCGGTCTGAGCGATTCTCTAGAACTGCCGAAAAACTCAGGATGATTCAGTTTTAAGGTTATGATGTTATGATTTGCACAGCCAATCAAAGGCTGACAAGTTTGAGATGTTACCAAGACAACTCAGAAACACGCCTTCTTTGATACAGGATGTTCTGACTGGTTTAATACTATGTGTGTCAGGGTTTAATTTAGCCGTACTTGTTATTGTGTGAATGCATGTGTGAGGACCTCGTCGTATAAACATGAACACATGGCAGTCTCTGTAGACATAACATAACGTCCATTCAGTGAGCACAGATTAATGAAGCATTTCATTATACTATAATTATTATAAGTGGTAATAAACAAATGTTTATTTAAAGATTATCTAGATTATAGGTCGTGGAAGAAGTTCATATTGATTTAGGAAATCATTCTTGAATTTAGCAACTGATTCAAGCTGGAGTGTTCCTTCTGTGGAGGCAGACAGATGGGACCTTGGGAAAGCAAGTTATTGTTTATCTTTCAGATTTGCAGAGTCTGTGAGCTGGTATGAAGGCAGGCTCATTTAAAGGGAACACATGCAGTGTTGTGTCTCCTTTCTGACCAGATGTTGAATAGATGTTGAAAGGTCAGACTGTACCTAAACTGACCATTGCTGGACGTTACAACTGACTGTTGGCCAGCTACATTAAAACAAAACTACAAAGAGAAAAGAAAAATATAATTATCCTGTAGCCTGTCAATAACCACGTGAGCACTTTCCTAGATGTCTTATAGCATCCTGTTTCAGATGTTTAAACGAACACATTTAGATTGTAAACCTGTTTTTAGGTAAAGCTGAGCAGCAAGGCTGGGCAGAACGTTGATATTATTTGGACAGAGAACAGCTTCCTCATTACAGCGACTGGAGAACAAATAATCAGGTGAGTTTTAAGCATTTTCTGCCTTTTAGCTTACACACATCTGTACATTCAATACATTCTCACACCCGATGCGGCAACAACTGACGATGGGTGACCAAGCGTTTCCGACGCGTTGGGAGCCCCAATGGGTGTGAGAATGTGTTGGAACATTTTGAACTTTGTTAATAATTGTCTTTTTTACTCTTCAGACTGTGGGACCTGGAAAGGGATGACAACTATAGTTTGTCTCTTGATGAAACGTTGGGCTTTGAGAGGGGAGAGATGATAAACTGTGTTGCATACTGTGCAGCAAAAGGTTTGTGTGAAAAATGTAAAGCTACAGTAAAACGTGCAGCAATGCTTGTTTCTCATCGTTATCTCACTCTGTCTTTATGGAGCTTTTGTCTGTTTTAACAAAACATTTCACTGGCTGGTCAAACACAAATGAATCAGCCTTAGCAAACACAGAAGTGGCAGCGACTCACTCAGTTTTACAGACTTTGAGCTAAAAGATGGTAGCAGAGTCACAGCCATCCCATACTTGGTGCTAACCGATTGTGCAAAAAACATTTTCTACAAATTTTGCCATCAAAGGGACAGCAGATCTTCTTAAATGTGCATCTGTGAAAAAGTTAAAGAGGTCCTTCACTCATATTTTTAATATTTGCAGTGGTCTCTAGTAGGAATGAATGCTTGTAAGTCTAATTGTGGGGAAAAAGCTCAGATGTGCCTGTTTCAGCACGGAGAATTCAGCTAGAGGAAACGTAGCTTCAGATGACAGGGTTTGGATTCTTATTTCCTGATATTTTGACCAGGGGGAATTCTGCTCACCTCTGATTATTATCTTATCTCCATCTGTCCATCCATTTTCATCTTCTTATTCTGGGTTGGGTCACAGGTGCAGTAACCTAAGCAGAGAGGCCCAAACTTCCCTATCCCCAGTAGGGCTGGCAATGTAGATAAAAAAGCTTATCAGTTAAAAAAAAAAAAATATATATATATATATATATTGATCGATATCAATAATTATGAAAACTATATAAAAAATCTCAAAAATATATTTTAAGTGCAGCCCTGGTCATCTTAGGCCATTACTTTATGCTTGCATTACCAGACTTGTTTATGTTTATGTATTTAGCAGACGCTTTTGTCCAAAGCGACTTACAAGTGATGATCGGCATTTTGCCCTTGAGGCTAACAACAATAGTAACAGAGATTGATTCTCTGTTGCAAACCACCGTTTGTTATTTGTCAGACTTGTAAGAATGAAAATATTGCCACACTGGTGAGGTACTGTAACAATTTCTTCCACCTCTCCTTGCTGCAACATCTTGTTTTAGTCACATTGCTGTCTGTTTAGGTTTGAGAGGGGAGGGCTTGGTGATGGAGCGTGCTTGGGTCTGTTTTTTTGATTGGTTTGGTGTCAGTAATGACTCTAGTATAAAGCTATCCAGTAGGCTATAATGGAAAAAAGAAACTTTTATTGAAGTTTTTTATTGATCCATTTTTTTTCTATTGATCGATAAATATTGTTATTGAATTATTGTTCAGCCCTACTCCCCAGCCACTTGGGCCAGCTCCTCCGGAGGAATCCTAAGGCATTTCCTGGCCAGCTGAGAAACAAAGGCAAAAGACTTAGTTCAGGGAAACAGAAAAGACTTCTAACCTCACAGACAAGCCCTCAACTAGTCTGAGAGTATTTCTACTGTCTTAAAATGACTCTAATCTCAAAAGTTTTATAGTATTTCATTGGGATGCACGATATATCAACACCAACACTGGTATCGGCCATTGTTAGTCTTTTTTTTTTTAACATATCGGTATCGGTCCAATAAGTAAAACTTGGTTGATATTTGCTGTTAGTGTTATGGAGAAATTCTAGCTAGTTTCTATCCACCATCATTTGTCAAAATCACCATGAAATATGAATTTTATGGCAGTGTGATAATCATTAATTTCCTAATGAAATTGTGGAGGGCTTTAGTCTGTGTTTCTCTAAAATGTATCACCCTAACTTAGCTACTTACTCGACTAGATCATGTTTTTGTCACAGACTTGTTTTAGTAGGTTTTCACTCTCACAAATTTTTCCTTCTGAGGTTTTACAAACAATACGTTCACTGTCAACTTCAAGTGCTCCTGGTCCAGAGGGAATTGAGAGTAAATTTGTTGCAGCTCATGAGCTTGCTATTCCATTAGCTGTACCTTTTAATCTTTCAATTAATACTTACTCAGTACCTTCAGCATGGAAATGTACTAAGATTTTCCCTTTGTTTAAGGGAGGAGATGCTTGTGATCTCAATAGTTATAGACCTATAGCAATAATAAATGCTGTTGTTAAAATATTTGAAAAGATAGTTTTCAATCAACTTTATAGCTATTTAGAAATTAATAACATACTTTCTCTATTTCAATCTGGATTCTGGAGAATCCAGGCCATTGCTTTTTTTCAGTTTTTATTGATGATCTTCCTCTATGTTGTTCCACGTGTGCTGTGCATCTGTACACTGATGATACCATATAATGTAGGTTTAAGTCCACCGCACTGGAAATTCAGGAGTACCTTCAGTCTAATTTTGATAGCTTACAGCACTGGGTTATCAATAACAGACTTATCCTTAACTAATCTAAGTCTTATGCACCTCTTTTTTGGAGACATACGTCTGCTCCAGTCATTAATGGAACTCTCAGCTTACACTTTTTGGACTCTTCACATCTAAAATGTGTTGACAAAGTTAAATATTTAGGAGTTTGGTTTGAATCTGATCTTATTTTAAAGCTCACATTCAGTCAGTCACTAGTAAGGTTAATTATCAACTTAAAACGTTATATCAATCAATTAACTGCTTTGATTTTAGAGTGAGAAATCATATTGCAACTCAACTGTTGTTTCCAATCTGCGATTACGCAGATATAATTTACCAATACCACTGCATCTTGGCTCCATCCACTAGATGTTGTTTACAACAGTATTTGTCGTTTTGTGCTGCGTTGTCCTTTTAACACTCATCACTGTACTATGTTTGAAAGTTTGAACTGGCTTCCTTTAAAGGAAAGACGGAGCTTTCATTGGTTATTGTTTATCTTCAAATTTATATTTTTTAAATTTTCCTGAGTATTTAAAAATGTATTTAGTGCCCTTTGAATGTCCATATAGTATCTCTTTTGTTGTTCCTCCAGTTAAGAAGGAAGTTGGGAGACTTGCTTTTAGAGTTAAAGCTCCATTGGACTGGAATAAGCTCTCTGTTGTTATTACATCTTTTCGTTTATTTAAGAACTCTGTTCATTTACACATTTTACCCAATTGTAATTGTTTTTAATTGATAATGTGCTGCACTTAATTTACCACTGGTAAGAAAGAATTTATTTCTGTGATTGCCTATTTTTCTGTAAAATCACAGAAAAAGAGAGCTGCTCGGGTCAAGCAGGCTGCTTAATGCGCGTTCACGCTCAGACATAGCCCTCCGAATCGTTCTTAAATGGTACAGATACAAGTGACGTCACTGGCGCGTTAGCTCGCCTAGTAAGACGTCGGACTCTCGTGCAGAAGACCTGGGTTTGATTCTGGATGTGAACATAGTTTATTTAGAGTTTCTTTTTTACATTAATGGTATATTTTTTTTACAGTAAGAAGCCCAAATTTTTATTTGAGACTCGCCGAACGGCATTGCATTCACAGATAAAAAAGATGTGGGTTCAACTTTCATTTTGGAACAATTTTTCAAGAGCATGCAGGAGGACTGACCCATCTTAAACCTTTGTCGGCTGTGCTGAAGAGAAAGGTACAGAACCAAATTGTTTAATTAATTAGCTGCGCGTTCTCCTGTCCTCTGTCCTCCGGTACAACCAGGACTAAGCTCGTTTTTGCCAAATCGAGGCCCTTCAAAGAGCTGTCTACAATGTGGACTGATCATATCCTTACCACAGAACCCCAATTCAACTTTCCCTTAAGTCAAACTGTGTCATTGGCCGTGTTCGAGTTGAGCTGCGCCTCGCCTGGAAAGCAGACGAGAGCAGGGGGAGTGGCTGAAAGCCGGCATTTAAGTCGGACAGATTTCCCTACATGTGTAGCTCGGGGGTGACGATGGATGAAGATATTGCGTTAGAGTTCATACTTGTTTAATTATTTATTTTAATTCTGGTACCTGTTAGCAGCTGAAACACATCCTCACGTGTTTGTGGATGTCATATATTGTATATGGAGACCTGACTAACCCCGGGTTTCCACCGGAGTCGTCAGCAGCACGTTACTGCAGCAGCACGTCTTGCTCGCGTAAGCTGCTGCTTGGCCCTTCCCACGAGACGCGAATCAGCAGGGGAGCAGCTGTCACCGACCGAGCACGAAGTCACACGAGTGACTTCGTCAGTAAACACAACAACAAGCAGGAGAAAACTACAACATGGCTCCAAAATGTTTGTGTTTTTATGTTCTGTCCGTTTTATAATCGCCAATACGGACCTGAAAAACAAAGGAGACCGCTAGCTAGGTGATAACTTCTCACGGGGCCGCACAGTTAGTAACGTTTTTTAAAGTAAAACGACCGGAAGGCAGTACGTTCTTTATTCTGAAAATATCGGGAGCTTCTCTCCATTTCCGCGTCCGATTTCCTGTCTTTCCTTCCCCAAAAATGTCGAACTTGACCCGTTTCAGAGGCGTCGCGCGTAGGAAATAGAACCGGCGCGTAAAGGCCGCGACATGCTGCTCCTGAGACGCGGCCGACTCGCGCTGCTGACGGCTCCAGTTGAAAAGGTTCTGTTGACCACAGCCGTTCCTATCAGCAGCTATGACGTGCTGCTGCAGTAACGTGCTGCTGACGGCTGCTGTGGAAAGCCGGGGTAATAATAAGTAATGGTTATCAGCTGCAGCTTTAGTGTGCTCATATGAAACGTGACAAATAACACAAAACACATTTGTCTTTATGGCCTATATAGTTGTCATCATCGACGTTACATGATTTACAGAATACATGTGACCAACTAACATTTCATGTTCTACCACCGGATGTTTGGATCAAAATATGAACCAATCAGATCTTAGATCAGGTTTGAGCCAGGCGTTTCCCATCATGCCCTAGGTTTTGCAGCCGATGGAGAGCAACTGCAGCGCCTTGCTCCAAAATCTGCAGCCGCCTTGATCTAACAAGGTTATCGTTGTCTACGTATGCATGACGGCAGAGCAAGTCGGCGTCAAGTCGGACACAAATCTAATCTGCGCAGAACTGGCTCATCTCGAACACGGCCATTAACAGTTAGAGCCTACACCGTCTGATTCCCGGAGATCTCACCAGCCACCAGGGGATTTGAATGAAACTTTCTGAAAATAATCATTGGATGTACAACTGGTTTACTTTCAAAGTCAATCCAATTAAGATGGCCGCCACAACCAGTTGACTTTGACAAACAAAAACACGACTCTCACTCTGTCAGTTTAGAGCTGCAAACAAATGTGGTTGCAGCTGAGGGTAACCCCATCAGATGCTTTGTGTGTTGTCTAGAACTCCATAATTTCTAGACTAAACCAGATCTTAGTTCCAAACTCTGTCATGATGTGTTTCTTTAAGGAATGCAGGCTTTTACATTTTTATTCACTCCAATCTGAGAAGATTTGGGAAAGTCATTTTTTTATTTGTCTGTAGAAATCCTGGCAGCTGGTACCTCCCATGGGCACATAGCAATATGGAAGATGGTGGTGCAGCCAAACAGCAGCAGCAGAGAAACAAAGATCCTGTGGAAATTACAAGCACCCACAGAAATAGAAGGAAATGTCCTTCAGCTACAGGTACCATCTAGACCAGCATTCCATCATGATAGGCGTGCTACTGTTTTCAGAACATTGAACTGAACTTCAATTTCAGTGGGGCTCCTGCCAGAACCTTTTGGCAGCCAATAATTCAAAGACGGTGCTGATTCTAAGTGAGCACGTGATGTCCGCCCACTTCAGCCAGCAGGTGTCAGCAGTGCAGCTCACCCCAACACAGGTCATCATCACTCAGTTCTCCACTGGAGCGCAGCTTGCTCTCATGTCTGATATGCACATCAAAGGAGTGTGTGTTAGCAAGGTAGGAGGGAAGGTGAAGCTTTCACAAAGCGTTTCTCAGAAATACGTCTCAAAACCTTTTGTCTTTTTCTGTTCCATCAGGACTCGGTGACAGTCTGGAACGGTAAAGTAGTCACAGTTTATGAGCTCTCAGGAACAACTTTACGCAGCACAGGTACATGTTACAAACACAAACTGGTAAAATGAACTACATTTTATATTTTCACCACACCTAATTTCTTTTTTCCTTTTCTCTCCTTTCTTGATCTCTCAGGATCATTTTCTTGTGATTCCCAAGTGGTAGCCATGCATGGTGAGAACCTCTACACTGTAGAACCAAACAGGGTTCAAATCCGTACACCGCAGGTCTGTTGGCTTGACCCACTACTAAATAATTTTTGGGTAATTTTCAGAGCATGTCAGATGTTTGTGTTCACTTTCTGCACTATCAGGGCACAGTGAAACAACTCTTAACGTTCTCCAAGACAGAGGGAAACCCTGTGCTCCTCAGTGTGTGCCAGTCCTACCTGGTGGTGGGCACAGACACGGCGCACATCAGAGTTTTTGACCTTTCTAGAAGGTATGGAGTCCATGTGGCTCCTTTATAAATACTCTTATCAGCTGAATTTGTGAATTCAATTGAGATTTTAGTTTTTTTGTTTTTGTAGAGATGCCAAAGCTTCCTGTAGCGCTAAGAACCTGGCAGACCAGATTTCCAATCTGGGAGCTCTGAGGTCTGTCAATTGCAACGCCAATGGCAGCCAAGTTAGCATACTAATCTCTAAGGTAAACGGACAAACATGCTTTACTCTGATATTTTATGCTTTCACACCATCATGAAGTGGTTTTAAGTGGAGTCTTTCTTCTCAGGTAAATGGACGACCTGATCACAAAGTGTACTTTTATGACGTTGAGATGGACACCGTGACACACTTTGACTTCTTCACTGGAAGGCCATCTAGTGGCGTCTTACAGTCAGAAGAAAGTGAAAAGTAAGGTGTTCTCCTTTTGACCATGTGGACTGTAATAGCTGTGACCCCACACATTGATCTGTACGTCTTCTCTGTTTCTCAGGCAGAAGTTTCAGGAGACAGAGTGTAGCGGTCGCCGTCCTGTGTCTCATTTCTGGGACCAGAGTGAACCTCGTCTTTTTGTTTGTGAAACGGTGCCAGTCAGCTCTGAGTCCTCATCGAATGGTTACCTAGAAATGGTAATAAAACAGCTCTTTAAACTAAGATACTGGAATTTAGAGTTGATTTTTTAAAGGGATTTTTTAGTAGATGAGGTGTGATATTATGGTGCCTTTTTTCTTTGTTCCAGGTGGACGTGTCAGTAGTGACACTCTTTTGTACACAAGAACACGGACTCCTCCTACAGGACTACTTCCCTAAACCTTCAGGTCTACAAGCCCTACTTGCTCTGGACGTACCCTACTATTATTTCAGCTGCAAGGTGCAAACCACTCTACTCTTGCATTATGGTTTTCGGTTTCCACATCTGGGTCGGTATGGTCAGGGCAGGCTCACACGGGCGGTTTTGTTCACATCATGGTTCCCACGGACTTCTCAGGAATGAGCAAATCCCTGAGCATGTGGATTTCAGCTGGTCAATCAGTTCGTAGAGTCACCTCAGTCCCAGTCAGACAGCCGAGGAAGAGGTCTGAAAAAAAGGTAATCTGAGAATGGAAAATGCACATATGACCCAGATGTGAAACCAAAAAAGTTATCCAGCCTGTATCATATGGACCCAGATGTGGAAACGGCAATAATGGAGCCTCATCATACAGATTTGTTGTTGCTCTTTATTTGTAGCCTTTCTAAGCATATTGAAAAGTGATTGATCTTTCATGAGCCTCTGTTTGATCTGACACACAATAGCTTTTATTTCGGAAAGGAAATGTCTTCCTACCAGAAGTAAGTGTCTGTCTCCCAGAAGTCACCCCAAAAGCCTTTGTGTTTTTGCCTCCTAGCCTCCAGCAGCTGTGATTGTTTCTACTTTGTGCTGCAGTCAAAACTCCTGAGATGTTCAACACAAATCCACCCATTATCTATCTAGACTTTGCTTTCAGTCCGTAATGCACTTAATAGATGTGTTGTTGATGTCATTATTGGATTTGTTTCTCCTGCCACTCATTCCTCATTGTTACTTCATTTTGCTCCAAATCACTCTAGATTTTTTTGTTTTTCAGCCAGGTGAGAGCGATCCATGCTCATCATCACCTTCAGATGAGAGTCAACCAACTAGAGGAGCTCCTGCCAACTTGCCCCATATGGTGTCCAGGCGGGCCCTTAGAGACTTTGTGGGCCTAGAGAACTGTGAGAAGGCCACTCGTGACGCCATGCTGAACTTCAGCTTCTACCTGACCATTGGTGACATGGACGAAGCTTTTAAGTCTATCAAGCTCATCAAAAGGTAGGTTGACCTTATATTAAAAGTTTAAGAATAGAGAGAAGACATGCAGGCTGGTGAATCCACAAGAGACTCGTTAACCCGTTAGACTGCTGTCATCACATTCCTACAGGTCTTCTCTACCGGGGATATTAGTTCAAAGACCGGGGGGGGGGGGGGGGGGGTGTACATTGTTACAGCAGCCTTGACTTTTCCCAGAATGCTACACTGTTTTCCTATTTTCATTTCTTACAGAACATTTTAGTAAACCTTCCTCTAGCTGTGCTTCCTTCAGGTTCACACAACGGCCCATTTAGTCATCACTCTAATGAATGATAAATGATTAGATCAGACTGTTGTGTGTGCATGCACGCATGTGTGTGTGCTGTGGGAAGGAACTCTTCATTTTGTATATGTGACTGTGCTAGGGTGCGGGTGTATTCTGAGGGGATGCGCTTTTCTAAACACACGGGGTGACACACACCCATGCACGCACACACACACACACACGCACACACACACACACGCGCACACACACACACACACACACACACACACACACACACACACACACACACACACGCACACGCACACTCCCTCTACTAGTTTAAAAACAGCACACCCTTTCCATTCTTGCAAACATTAATTCATGCTGGTAGGAAGGTGTGTTTCATTCAAGTGTGTGTGTGTGTGTGTGTGTGTGTGTGTGTGTGTGTGTGTGTGTGTGTGTGTGTGTGTGTGTGTGTGTGTCTATCAGAGAAATGCTTTGCCAATTTATCAGTAATCAGATTATTTCCTTGGAAGGAGATGTGATTCACATCACTCATTGGGAATGTTGTGGCACTGCTGGTTCTACACGTACAAGCATTACGCAGAAGGGGAAAAAGAAACAAACAAATGGCAGAACAGTGTATTCAACAGGCCGGATATTCCAAAGAATTTAATAGATCTGATGACAGCTTTACTAAGTTCTACAGTGATGGTTATTTTTAAAGCTGCTTCTTTTCCCCCTCACCTTTTTAAAATTAAATGTCAGTATTGTGTTTGATTCCTGCTTACCTCCACCCACAGGAGTAGACGTTTCCTGCAGCAAACCCCTGTATCATCTGGGACACTTCCCCTCTTGATTATTGAGTTAACAAATGTTCCCATAATATTAATTTGGTTTACTTTATGAGGCTGATGAGGTTCAATGATAAAATATGTACTGGGAGAAAACAGACTCGGCAAATGTGACACTTTAGTTCATTTTACCCAAGCCAAGCAGTGCTGGAAGGGTTATGTAGGCCTGCAGCTTTTAAGATACAAGCTTTGTTTTAAGCCTTGATAAAAGATACAGTGAAAAGGTAAATTGAAATCCCAAAAAGTTCAAACATAGACACATTCAGAAAGACCAGATGGAATATTATTGGATGTTTTTGAATCAACCTGTTTGTCTTTGTCCTCTTTGTCCTTGTTGCTCACAGATTTATGATTGCAGCTTCAGTAAAAGTGTATAGGTTTGTTAGCAGTTGATCAGTACATGCAGCTGTATCATACTTATGTGGCTCTGAATGCAACAAAGCTTGTTAGACGGTTGATTCTGAATCTATTTAGCCAAAGAAAATGGATCTTTGCTCGCAAGGGTCATTAATAAATGAAAATGTTGACTGGAATCTTTAAATTAGTGTGGAACACATAGAATTGGGAATGAATAAATATGTAGGAAGGAACTGTCCGTATTAGAATCAGCTGTACAGTCCAGTTGATTTGTGTCGGTGTGAGGTTTATACTTTTTCCTGAATGTTCTGAGTCAGCTAGACACCTCATGCATTTCATGTAGAATATATATATATATATATAATTTTTAAAGCCATACATTGCAATTTTTTTCATATTTTTAAATCATTATCTTGAGCCAGTATGCTCTAAAATGCTCCTTTACATGGTTAATGAAATGTCACTCAGACACCCACCATCCACTGAGGCCAGATTACCCCATTTGCAACTTCAGACTGGCAGGCAACTCTGTTGGGGGAAATGGAGCTGACATACCTGGCGCTGCAGTCTGGTTCCAGCACTTTTCCTGCATGTTTTAGATCAGGAACACTGCTGATTTGTTCAATTTAGTGATGAATCACTCCTGAAGAAACTAATGAAAGCTGGGAGAAATGTTAGCAGTTAGATGAAGGTGTAAAAAGGACAATTAAAGTGTTAGAAAGACAAACACACAGCGAGGATAAGTTTCATTTCCGGTTTGAGCACAGATAATTAATAACGGACACAAAGTGGTGCTAAAAGCAAGCAAAACTGCCAAGTGTGCCTTTAAAAGAGAAAAAAATGCCACAACAATTTTTGTAATTCCTCCTCTTTTGCTCACATCAGATGTTGCAACAGAAGCAGTAACGGCTGCAGTCGAGTATTTGAAAATGTTTTATTGACATTGCAGGGCATTATCTTTTTCATGTGCCCTTTGGTTTGCTACCATGGAAGAGCCCACATAGCTCAGATTGTTGGTGGTCTGGTCCCAACTTCTAACAACAACTCTCATATTAACTTAAGGGATACACTTTGTACCACAAGCAAGCAGAGTTTTAACGGTTAAGCATTAAATATAAGCAATGGAAAGTTCATGTTTTTTTTATTATTATTTTGTACATGACATCTACAAATTCATTTTAAATGTCAGCATGACTAAATGTTCCCACTGATTTGGTTAAACTGAATGAACCTTTTAGCTGACTTTTTTGTCTTCTGCCTTGTTAATTTTCCAGCTTACTTGCTACATATATAATTAATATGCATTTAAACTGTAAAAAAATTAAAATATAGAAAAATATGAGGTAATGTAGCATCTTAAGGTCCATTGTTTGTAATAATTTTCTAGGGACCATTTAATAAGTGCGTGTTTCATTAAAAAAAGGTCAAGTTCCTGCTCGATCTTTCTACAAGGATGGCTTATAAAAGACAGTCCTCATCCATACCAGCAACCAGTTAGCTTACACAAGTGGTACTGCGTGAGTTCTCTACCAGTGTGGAGATATGGTTAGACTGTCATAAATATGCAACTTTTGTGCCTCAAATAGCAAAATAATTCAGATGTATTTATACAAAAGGAAACATGTGCAATCGCAGGTATGAGTTAATCCAGCAGTTATGAAGCCACAGGAACGCAGTCTTCTCGTATGAGTCACGTTCCAAGCTCAAGGCTGGAGTTATTACAGATAACATCTCTGCTGGTTTTGCTTGTGAGGTCCTGTGGCTCAGCAAGGCGACTCCACATAGTCGTTGTCCAGACGCGGGTGAAAAGGTGATGCTAACGAGCGGCTGATGATGATAACTCGGGGCGCCAGACAGTCATCTCGTCGGTGTAAAATGTTCCAGATGAGCATGGCCGCGGCCATCGTGGCTAAGAGACAAGCTGCTATTTCCACATAGCAGGAGTAGGACAAGTGTGTGTAGGGTCCAATCCTATAGAAGGTCACAAGACCGATCACAAGCACGAAACCTATGGAGGAGCACAAAGAGAACATGGATGACTCAGTCTGTTACAACACATAAATAGTGCAATGTAAATTAGATTTTGTCCTCTCGGGAGTATTATAATCTTTCAGCAGATTTGGAAAAAAATACAAAGCTATGATGCTTCTGTTCTGAGATGCAGACATGTGCTGGTGCAGAGATGAGCTGAAAACAGCAGACCTGCTCATTATTATTAATGATATGCACACACCTTGCTTCTGATTGGCTAACAGAACGCATTCAGCCCAATTGCAAAGACACTCTCCTTTCTCTACCTCGCTGCATACTTTTTTTTTAATAAAAAGCCATCCTGTGTTCTCTTGAGTGCTAACAGATCGCATGAGATCTGGCCAAAATAGCTGTATCTCCATTATTTAGCACCATAAAATGATCTTTAAAATTCAAGACAAGGAACAGGCTGGAGCACACTACTCAGTGGAGAAGACTAACGTTTTGACATAAGTGATTTCAGAGTTATACCTCTAAACTCTGCCATGAAATACAGCTGGCAGAATGCACTCCGTCAAGGAACGCTAGGCCTTTGATGCAACAAAACTCTTTGTCTAATTAATTGAAGAAACAAAACACTTTTCACCTCGAGTGTCAGTTATTTGCCAAAATAGATCACCCTTTGAAGTTTGTATTGATCAGAAATTCCTACAAAAAGTTTTTATTTATCTTTAAAAGTTGCCATCAGGGAAATGTATGTCAAAACAAACTCGCGTGGTCATGTGTTTATTAGTAATAGGACTTTTAAGGGCTTTTTCCAAGCATGTTTAATGGACCATTCCCATCTGTACTGGGTCGGCCCGGGCCGGGCCGGGTAGCCCCAGTCGGCCCCAGCCTGGCCCGGTTGATTCCACACATCCTTGTCTTAAGCCCATGTGGGCTGATTCTACCAACCATTCAGAGGCTTGCTCTAATGGAAGGTGTGAATTTGCTGTCAGCAGTGGGTGTGTTGGCCCTGGTCGGCCTGAAGCAGACCCCCTCTCGAAGAGGGCTGAGAATGAGCCTTGGTTGGCCCGGAAAAATACCAGGCCACCCAGATATGTAAACAACCTACGCTACCCGGCCCGGGCCGACCCGGTACAGATGGGAATGGCCCATTACATGTTGATGTCTAAAACCCACTTATCACAAGCAGACATCTATCCCCTTTGCTTGGGTTGCTCTGTTGAGTTAGAGCTCTGTGTGAGGCCTTTGAGTTTGAAAATATGTTTCCTCTTCGGAAGAACATCTGAGCTGTCCTGATTAAAGTCTTCAATAGCATAAGAGCGGAGCAAATGTATTGGGGAAAAGTCTTTGATACATTTTATCTGCACATTTCTTTGATTCACTGATGTTTGGAGCACACAATGAGGAGCTCCTGTTTGCATGCAAAGCCAGAACGCCCCGGAGCTTCGGCCCTGTGCTGCTCAGGTGTGGCCTATTCAATTGTTCAGTTATAACACACGTCTGAACTTACTCCATCCTCAGTGGTATAAATAAAAGGGACCAAAAATAATGACTGGAAACAGGGATGTTAGTACTTTAGGATATGAATCAGTTTGTTTCCTGGTGTAGTCGGTGGCACCAGGCAGGGGAGTTCATTTATAATTTTTTCTCTTGCTTCTACAGAAAGATGGCTGTCATTGTTTCAAGTAAGGATGTGGATAATTGTGTGTGTATATCACAGCATGTCTGCCACCGTATGTATGCAGAGAATGCAGCTGTTTGCTCCATCTGCGCCTGTTTAACCTGTCTGGCTCCTTAGTCCAGATAATGAATAATCTCCTGTTCATGTTTGGGTCGGTTCAGACTGTGTGAACCTCTTTTTGGCTCAAACTTATCTCCTTCCCTTTCTTCCTCTTTCCGTCCTTCCTTCCTTCCCTCCTTGCCACGCCCAGAGCTTCAAGGTTAACATATTTACTGGACATTTGACAGCTAAACAACTCCCGTCTCAGACTAGTTCATGTCAGTTTAATTGTCTTCTGTATTTCTTTCCATTTATAATGGTCTTTATCACTAAATGACAAATAGTTATTTAAATGTATCCCATACTTCTCATCAGAACCCACTTGAAGAAAAAAGATATTTTTTAAGTAAAGTAGATCAAATCTGAACTGATCAGTCTGAACAATCTAGATTTTTAATGGTAGACATCTGCAGTCCTGGCACATAGACAACAGACTCTAGAAGGGCCAGTTCTCTAATAACAATGCTCCGATGTCACTCTGTGGATTGTTATTTTACACTCTCACACTTGATGGATCATACCAGAGAATTTTGGCACGTCTGAAAATGACCACATTCCAATAAAAACACCTCTATTCATTCACAACTGAAGCCCATTGACTGGCTCACTGGAGGAGGCCTCAAGTAGGAACTGATTAGTGAATGGTAGCTGCCTGAGTCTTATCAGAAGATTAGGCCACTGTGTGGTTTTGATAAAGACAAACATGGCTTTTTAAAGTCTGTTTTCAGATTTAGTTTTAGAGAATGTTCTTCTGATGACACTGTCCTGTTTTATCTTCACAATTGTCAGACACACTTAAAGGGAATTTAATTCAGAAACTCCTAAGAAGGGATGTGATGCCATGTCATCCCTCACCCATGTAATCTTCATGTGAGACATTTTAATGATAGAATCAAAACGCTAGATGTAAGAAAATGAGGAAATCAGTGACTGTTTGTCATTGTAAACAATACAAATGACAAAAAATAACAAAGCATTTTTATCCAAAGGCAATTTTTTAACCTTTATTTTAAACCATCACTGCTATCAACGCCACATTTCATGATATTCTGGCGGGGATGTCAAACTTATGGAACCCTTTGCAGGTGTTTTGGGTTTATTAGTAGAGTCTAGACTATTGAACTTTTTTACAATATTCTTGAATTTGTGGTTTTCAAAGACTGTAAGCCATAATCATCGCAACTATAACAAATAAAGGTATGAAATGTCTGGCTTTGCCTGGAATGAGTCTATCTCATGTTTTAGTTTCCCCTTTTACATTCAATTACTGGCATAAATTTTTTGAGTTTCACCCTGAGCTCGTCATTGTCAGATCTATATTACACACACTGCCCATACCAAAAAAGTCACTGCCTGGATTTAACTAAGCAAATAGGCACAAGCCTCCAGTTGAATAATTACTGCATGGGTTCTAATATTTCAGCTGGCAACAAGTGTTTTAACCCCAACTGTTGCAGTGAGTTGCTTCTCGTGTGGAAATACACATCTGGTGGTCATGGAAAAGATGTTAGTCTGTTTAAGAAGCATGAAAGTAAGAGCATTTCCACTCACACAATGTGAAGGAAACTCGGGATTGGGCCTGAAGAGCTGTGTAGCCGTAAGAAAGCCACTAATCAGTGAGGCCAACTTTGGAGGCAACAATTGGACTCTGGAGCAATGGAAGAAGGTCATGTGGTCTGATGAGTCCAGATGGACCCTGTTCCAGAGTGATGGTGCATCAGGGTAAGAAGAGATGCATATGAAGTGATATAGTCATCATGCCTAGTGTCTACTGTACAAGCCTGTGGGGGCAGTGCTATGATCTGGGGTTGCTACAGTTGGTCAGGTCAAGGTTCAGCAACAGGATGTGCTCCAAGAATGAGGTCAGCGGACTACCTGAATGTACTGAAGGACCAGGTTATTTCATCTTCCCTGATGGCACAGGCATTTTCCAAGATGACAATGCCAGGATTCATCAGGCTCAAATAGTGAAAGAGTGGTTCAGGGAGCATGAGACATCATTTCCACACATGGATTGCCCACCACAGAGTCCAGAATCTTTGGGGTGTGCTGGAGAAGGCTTTGTGTAGCGGTCAGACTCTACCATCCTCAATGCAAGATCTTGGTGAACCATTATTGCAACACTGGATGGAAATAAATCTGGTGACATTGCAGAAGCTTATTGAAACAATGCTACAGCGAATGTGTGCTGTAATCAAAGTTAAAGCTGTCCAACCAAATATTAGCGTTTGTAACCTTTTATTTTTTGGGGTGATGCCTTTTTTGGCCAGGCAGTGTTTAATCTCCATGAGATCATTCCGAACACTCTCAGCCAAAAGTTAAAACATTATTTTTTCATAATCTGTTTTTACACATAGATGCATATTTTAGTTCTGTGTAAGAATTGACAACATATGAAACATTTAAACATGGATTTGGAGACACTAAATCATTTTTGCCTTATATAGAACCGTATCTAACCAGAGTAGATCAAGTTATACTCATATGACCTAAATGTGGAACATTCCCATGTTTTCTATTAATATTCCGGTTTAATATCCTGGTTCTGACTGGGAATGACCCTGGTATGTTGTCTCTCTGCAATTCTGTTGACCTTATATGGAGAGCACATAGAACTGGAGAAGGACATTTTTCCTGAGAGAAAAAAAAAACGTTTTTAGGCGTTAAAACGTATCTATTTTCAAAGCAGCTTTCTCTTTGCTGTTGTTTTCTCTGAGATGAGTTCCTGACCCGTGATGCTTTGTTGCTGCTGGTGCTGCCTAATATGGAAAAACTGTTTCCAATCCGCTCACCAAGGTCTTTAGATAGTGGTGCTCATCTCTACTGTGATTTGAAAAGATTGAATGCTTTATTAACAGACACATCGGTCCAAAAACAATTAAACATTGATTAAAATACAAGAACAATAAATAGATAAAGTAAAATGGATACAATAAAATATATCTATTTAAAAGAATGAATAAGAATATATAATAGCATTGGCTTAAAAGAAACTACATAAAAGCTCAAAGTTATCAAGTAGACTAAAATGTATAGAGAGCACTAATCCGATATTTCTTGTAACACAATGTATATCTGGTGTCACTGTGTGCAGGAGAGGCTAATGCTTTAATGATCTCATTATCAGAGCTATTTAATCTACACATGAATTTGTGCATGAAATTCTGGATTTGACTGGATTACACTAACAATCAAGAAGATTTCTTTACTTAGCTGCTTTCTTGCTTTTCTTGTCAACACATTAAAGCTTATCTGCCAAGGCAATTCCCACCCTGCTGTCATACAGCGGGATATTCCTCCACCAGAGCGCATAATAAACACACAGTCACAACACACACTAAACATCTGCGCACGTAATCCGTCTCTTGCAAGTGCACACGCAAACACACAGTCCCTGTCGAAAACCGTCTTTCCCGTTCATTCCCCTCCCCTCTTTTTCCTTCTTCAGCTTTGCATAACAGGTAGTCACAGACATTTCCTCGTCCTGAGCAGGGATATCCTGGCGCCCGATAGTCGCTGCTCCCTGGTTCGCTGCTGCTCTGGCCCACGAATTCTGGACTGGGACTAAATTTAGAACCCAATGCAGACCCGTTGGTTTTGCTCTAATGCCATGCAGCTGAGCGACCACTGTGCTCAACACTACACACTTCCTCAAAACGAGCTCAGGGACCGGTCATGCCAGCTATTTCCTAATGCTGTGAGTGGTTGGGTGGATGTTATTCTTTGAGTTTGATTCAACAGACGTACCGGTGTGTGTCTTAATGGGAATAATCGTGACAGGAACAGTGTTTCTAATTAATGATCGATTAATTTGTTTTCCCTGTGTTCTCCTGAGATTGATTATAGAACAGATTTTGAAAAAATTTAGAAAAAATTTAATTAAAGACCAAGCACCCCATGGAAGGAAGGCACGCACCAAGATCTCATGCATGTCTGACATAATGAAGTCTTAGCCATTTTGATCAAATAGAGAGAATAATGTTGAAATCTCACAGCAATAATTGCAGGGTTTTTTCTATTATCGACTAGTTGTGGTGGTTGCAGTTGTAAGTGTAGATTCAGTAATAACTTCCTGACAGTTTTATTAAAATTTGCCGTGTGGTTCATGAGGTATTGGATATCAAATAAACCTGTGCACACAAAGACACAGATGATCCTCTTTAGGTGTCGATAACAATGGCATTAAGTGCATATTGTCTGTTTGTGTTTGCTTGATCACATCTGGACTTAAGTTCAGTACCTTGTCTCCCTGACGTTAGAGTGTCTAACTGTAAAGAAATCAGGCTTGATGTATTTAAAGTTAATGTCCCATTAGTCATCACACACTGGTGTGTGGTGAAATTACATTTCTGCATTTGATCCATCCCCATGGGGAGCGGTGACCTGCAGACATCTCCGGGCTAGGAGAACATTTGGTGATTAACCCCCCCCCCAAAAAAAATCAAACCCCTTAATGCTGAGTGTCAAGCAGGGAAGCATTGGGTCGCATTTTTTAAAAGTCTTTGGTATGACCCGACCATGGATTTGAACCCACAATCTCCTAGTCTTAGGGCGGACACTCATACCATTAAGTCACTGAGCCAGTTGTTTTAACTGGTTTTTGAATTGTTTTAAAGTATTCTTTAAAAAGACATAATATTATTCTCTCCGTCTCCGAATCAGATGCACATATTGCATTAGACTTGTTCACATGGTTGCTTTCTGGTGCTTACTAGCTAGCTGGAAGAGTGCAGCGATGGCCTCCTCCCACCACTGGGACTCTTGTGTGATGAAAGGGAGCTCCACCAAGCCTAGAAGAAAGATCAGCTGACCAGCAGTCAGGGCCACTGTCGCCATCAGGTTGCACGCTCGCATCATGTTGAACTGCACTGTAGGGACCAGAAGAAAAGTTGTCATGTCTCTTTCTCTGATGATACAAAGTATATTCAACCTAAACAAACAAGACTAATGAGTGATGAGTGGTGTTCGCTAAAACGGGTGTTAAATGAAATTACATTACATTATATTAGGGCTGCCATTTGACAAAAAATAACAAATATCGATATTAATCACGAGTCAACACTTAATCTGTGATTAGTCACATGGTTTTGTGTGACTTTCTTTGACATGGAATGTGCTACTACTAGTTCACCTGTTGAATTCATTATAGATTCACTCAGATTAAGACAACAAAGTTTATCTCTGACTAAATAGAATATTTACTAAGAAACCACTATGTAGCCATAGAACCGCTACTTGGTATGTTGTTTGTGTGTGTACAGGTGTGTGTGTGTGTGGGTTTGTGGCGTTGTGTCTGTATGTGTGTGTGTGTGTGTGTGTGTGTGTGTGTGTGTGCGTGCGTGTGCGTGCGTGCGGCTCTGTCTTCTCGATCCCCAGTGAGTCGTGGAGGATGGCTGCTTATACTGAGCCAGGATCCTCTGGAGGTTTCTTCCTGTTAAAAGGGAGTTTTCCTCTCCACTGTCGCTAAATGCTTGCTTAGTATGTGGATTGCTGTAAAGACACTGACACTAGTCAGTGACTCGATGCAATTTGCTGGGTTTCTTATATAGGAAACCTTTTACTGATTGGCTTAATGAACTGACCTGTATTGGAATGTTTACTTTGTGAGGTGCCCTGAGATGACCCTTGTGATTTGGCGCTATATAAATAAACTGAATTGAATTGATCAAAGTAGGGCTTTTCTACACTCTAAATCCACGGTTTGGTTGACATTCACTCATGCAGATGCTGTTCCTCTCGCTCAGAGCAGAAATGCCTTCTTGCTGAATTTTCTGTCGCTCAGTAGTTTATAACCTCCTCTCTCTTTTCACATGAACATGTTCTGTAGTTAAGGTGTGTGCACACAATGTGTATGCCAACTGTATGGAGCCAGCAAGCAAAGGACTTGCAAAAAAAATTAATTGATGTTGTTAATTAATGTGTTAAAAATGCGTAAACATTTTTATACTTGTATATAACATCAACTGATAATATATTACTTAATCATACATATAAGATTAATAACATCCTATGTGACATAGATCTTGGAGAGACATCTATTATGAATTTCTAAAAAGTTGTGGTTACACACTTTTCATGAATGGTGAAGGATTCCTTTTGTCTAAATTAGTTGAGGAACTGCCAACTGTGCCCAGTAAAGCTCTCCAGTGGAAGTTCGGCATTTCCCAGAGTTGTTCTTGAATGAGCACTTCTCAATGGGGCTTAATGTAGTAAAACATATAAATCCATCACAACTCTAGGAATATTTATCCAGAGACTAAAATGTAAAGCAGAGGTTGAGAAATTGGACTTTTCAAAGAGTTGTTTACAAAATTAAACCGTAGAAGGTTTAAGGTTAAACCACCGAAGGTTTAAGGTTAAACCACCAAGACAACTAGTCTGTTTTCCTCGCAGATCTGGACTACATGTGAAACTCTAAAGTGAAGTAGAAACTTACGTTTGGCGGTGCTGGGGGATTCCTGGTAGCCTGCATTTTCAGACCCCCATCCCAGGCTCTCACACTGCCTGTGTGTCTCTTGCACCTTACTTGCAGCTCTTTCTCCTCCACTGGGGCACATCTTCCACAGTCCCACATTACGCTTCCGTCCACCCTCCAGAGCCTGAAGAACCCAGCTCGGGGTGAAGGCAGCAACATTATTCAGGACCAGTGACAGCAGGGCTACCACCACCGCTGCCGCCACTAGCCTCTGCACGGCCATGTGACGCCTAATGCCCGCCACTTCTCCCCCTCCGTGGTGTCCCTCCTCCAGCTGCAGTTGGTCCTCAGCGTTCAGTCCTCTCCCCACCTCTGGGCCAGAGGCACTAGATGTGCTCTGTTCCCCCTGAGTCCCCTCCACGACCTCCTCTTCCTCCAGCTGTCTGCTAGTGTTCTTACAACTCGTACAGATGAGTTGCTGAGAGTTTTGATTTAAAGGTTAGCTAAAGAACATCTCCATTCATCCTCATTCAGGAGTTGGTTGTCGTAGCAGCAGGTCTTCAGCCCTCTTCTTCAGACAACAGTGTGGGCACTTTATTATTAATCCAGCTGGGACCTGGGTCCATTCCCCTGGCTTCCACTGGCCACAGCTTGGCTCTTTTGTCCTTGCTTGACTTTTTTCTTTGAACTTAATTCTCTTTTCCTTGCTTTTCTGCTTTGCCTTTTGCACGTTTCTAACTTATCTTTGTGCAATGAAATTCTCTGTGCAGGAACTTTTCCCTACTCGCTCCCTTAAGCAGTCCTGCATTGCTGTTAAAGAAACATAATTAAAAAATATATATTTCTCTTAATGGCTTTGCTAGGAGCTAACTTGTTGCTGGTTTTGCTTAAGCTAGCCTAGGCTGTCTCAACTTGAAGAGCCCCTGCTGCCTGACTGGAACAAGAAGTCCTCTAGCCCACCTCCTGCAGCTTCTCTCTCTCTCTCTCTCTCTCTCTCTCTCTCTCTCTCTCTCTCTCTCTCTCTCTCGCTCTCGCTCTCTCTCGCTCTCTCTCTCTCTCTCTCTCTCTCTCTCTCTCTCTCTCTCTCTCAAAAAAAAAACACGGTGGAATTGCTGTTCATCATGGTCCAATACGTCAGTTTGCAGATGTAGAGAACTTGAGATAAATGTTACTCTTTTTCGCACTCGCTGTATGCTTGTAAAGTGTGTGTATGTGTGTGTGTGCGCGCGCGCGTGCGTGCACGCACATGCATGCCTGTGTGTCCAAAAAAAAAGACAGTCTTAGACGTCACTGATGCTTTCTTTTGTCTGCAGACCAGGGGAGGCGTTTGCTGAAGTCCTTTCTCTCATGTGCAACAAGCCACCACAGCCAGCCAGCAACAGGATGTGTTTCCTGAGAGCAAAAGAGGATGGGAAGCGGGGCCAAATGTAGACCCGTTTCTTCTCTTGTCTTTCCTTTTCTGGCTTTGTAGATCATGTTGCTTTGGGTGCAGCCAGCTGAAATTTCGTTGTGCTCTTCTTTGGCCATACAAAGCAGAAATCTGGCTAAGAGTTAACTGTTCTTGCTCTCTTATTTCACTTGGCCTCCATTACCCTTCTCACAACAGGGCCCCTAAAGATTTGGGGTATTTCCTGTTGCTAGATTTTCTATAAACAACCGACATCTGTATCTGCTGAAGCAAAAGGGAGGGAGTGGATTCAAATAGAAACCAGATGACTGTGGAATCTGGAACTGTAGCTAAAGTTAAAAGGGATGATGAATCGATTTATGACAGCATGCCAAATGGTGAAACAAGATGGGAGACAATGAAAAGCTCATCTCTTCTCTTAAGTTTCATTTCAGCCTTTAATTTTTTATTTAGTTATGCAAATGGGATTGTTCAAGACTTTGGTTCTAAATGCTGAAAAGTATTAAAGGTCTAGCAATAATCGTTCCATCCATTCATGGCAGAGTTGGGAAATGATGAGTCATCACCGTTTTGGTCCAGTCCTGATAATAACATTATGTGCATTCTCGCACTGTGTTGCAACATGTAGTGTGACCTCTGAGGACTCAGAGCAGTCATCCAATGGTTCATGAGAAGATTTCTAACAAACAAAATGGATTAACTCCAACTGTTAACGGCAACGTTTCAAACAAAAATCTTGTGCAACATTTTGCTTTGAAACCTGGAAGCACTTTCATTTTAATTGTGGTATCTATCCATCCATCCATCCATCCATTTTCATCCGCTTATCCAGAGTCGGGTCACGGGAGCAGTAGCCTAAGTCAAGAGGCCCAGACTTCTCTCTTCCCAGCCACTTGGGCCAGCTCTTCCAGGGGAATCCCAAGGCGTTCCCTGGCCAGGTGAGAGACATAGTCCCCCCACCGTGTCCTGGGTCTACCTTTAGGTCTCCTCCCGGTTGGACATGCCCGGAAAACCTCACCAGGGAGGCATCCAGGAGGCATCCTGACCAGATGCCCGAGCCACCTCAACTGGCTCCTCTCGATGTGGAGAAGCAGCAAATCTACTCCGAACCCCTCCCAGATGACCGAGCTTCTCACTCTATCTCTAAGATAACAGCCACTCTGTGGAGGAAACTCATTTCAGCCGCTTGTATCCGAGATCTCGTTCTTTCGTCACTAACCAAAGCTCATGACCATAGGTGAGGGTAGGAACGTAGATCGACCGGTAAATAGAGAGCTTCACCTACTGACTCCGCTCTCTCTTCACCACGACAGACCGGTAGAACGCCCGCATCACTGCAGATGCAGCACCAATCCGCCTATCGATCTCACGCTCCAGTTTCCCCTCACTCATGAACAAGACCGAGATACTTAAACTCCTCCATTTGGGGTAGGACCTCATCCTTGACCCGAGAAGGCATTCTACCCTTTCTGAATCAAGACCATGGTCTTAGATTTAGAGGAATCTTAAAGTATTTAAATTTAATGTTTAACAAAGTGCTTTAAACTTTAATTGAAATTTGTTTGAACACAATACCGTTTACCTTTGGGAAATAATGAAGTTAAATAAAAATTTTGAAAAATCCTCCTGCTTAAGCCTATTGAGTTTTTACACATGATGGCTATAGTTTGCCAGAGACCATTTGGATGATCCAGAGGAAGATTGGGAGAATGGCATGTGGTGAGACGAGACCAAAATAAAAGTCTTTGGTACAAACGCCACTCTCTGAGTTTGGTGGGTAAGTATGCTGAGTTACATCCCATGAACACCGCATTTGGAAATGGATGAATGGGGCCACGTATGGTGAGATTTGGGGCAAAAAACTCATTTTATCAGTGAGAGCATTGAAGATGAAACACGTCTGGATCTTCCAACACGACAATGATCCCAAACACACCGCCCGAGCAACGACTGAGTGGCTATGTAAACGCCATTTCAAGGTTCTGAAGTGGCCTAGTTAGTCTGCAGACCTCATACCAACCTGTGGAGGGAGTGGAACGTCCGTGTTGCCTAACGACAGCCTCAAATCATCACAGGAAGAATGGGCCAAAATACCAGCTACAGTGTGTGCAAACCTCGTGGAGACCTACAGGAAACGTTTGACCTCTGTCAAAGTTACATTACAAACTATGGAGGTGATTTTTTTGTTATTGACCAAACATTTATTTTTTTCACCATTATACAAATAAAATCTTTTTAAAAAATCATACAATGTGATTTCCTGGATTTTATTGCATTCTGTTTTTCTTTACTGTTGAACTGTGCCTGTGAAAATTATAAACCTCTCATCTTTTTAAGTGGGGCCACTTGGGGCAAATACTTTTCTGCCCCACAGTATGCTGTCATCATCACTGTAAGGTGCTAATTATCTTAAAAACTCACATTGAAAGTGCTTGAAAGGTGCTTGAATTTCATTCAGTAACAGGTGTAGCGTTGTGGTTTTAGGCTCTTTTATGAAAGAGGAACCATGCTACGTATTTGGAATATTAATTTTTAATAAATCAATAACCAAATTTTATATTGTTAAGAAGACTCAAAGGTTGTTTTCATCGATAAACTGACGATAATATCTGTGTGTCTGTGTTTCAGTTCAATGAACAAACAAGTTTCAAAATTAAAAGTTTTAATTCTTCAAACTAGACTAATGATTTTGAAATTGACAAACATGGAAATAACAATCAACTTTGGCAACTTGTGGGACAATCTTTAACAGTTGATATGATCAAATAGACCTTGTGGTGAATTTATGAAGATTGAGAATGTTGTGATATGAATGCGTGTGTGAGTCTGATTTTGCTTCAGGAAGAAACAGGTGTCTGAGTGAAGTGATGGTTTGGATAAACTTAGGTCTTATCAGAGAACTGCATCAAACGCTAAACACCGTGTTCTGTCTCACCGAACTCTTGTGGACCCTCTTTCGGATCCGGGCCGTGGAGGATGGTGATGGTTCATCCAGATGACACCAGCGGCTGACAGGGGAGACGTAGGTGTCGAACGGAACCGGTCCAGAGTTGCCCTCGGTACACGTCGATGGAAAAGCGTTTTGTCGATGCGTTTGTTAAGTTTAGTTCACTCAGAAATCAAAAGACTCGGGATGAGCCTGCGTTAGAAGTTGCAATTCAGCTATTCTGTCTGGCTTGGCAGGAACAGCGTGATGGGGGGGGGGGGGGGGGGGGGAACGAGCCAACCGGCTCTGTCCCCCCTTAGCGTTTATTCAGGTCCTCTCTCTTTCGTTGTCAAGCACGAACTGAAATCATAAGACTGAAACTTACCAAAAGCCTTTCTCCTCTCAAAGCAAAACGTGTACGTCAGCAAATGTGTTTTGGAGTTTACTGTGAGCAGATGTGCGTGGGTGTGTTTGGGTGTGTGAAGAAGCAGGAGTGTGAAGGTCGTTACCAAACATTCTCAACATTAACATTTAATTAAGAATGGATTAATTAACTGTTAACTTTGACACCAACTTTTAGTACAAGATTTGGAGTTTTCCTAACTCAGGAGAATCCGAAATGTGTTGACTCGACATGGGGCGGGGCTACACATAGAGTTCTGGCTGCTGCCAAGTTAATCTTTAATTGGGTCATCACTAAATGGGAATCCGTTGTAGATTTATGTCTAATGGTTTAATTTTCAAAGTTTAATTAAGGTTTATAAGACCTAATATAGAGACACAAGCAAAACATTTTTATTTAAAGATCTCGTGTTTGTGAGGACTAAGTATTTTACATTTTTGGTGAAGAAAGAAACTTTTTAGCAAACAAATCTCTTAAGAATAAGTGAAATATGCATCATCATTGAGCTTTTTCCCAAACAGGAACTCTTTCATCAGATATTCGTGAATGTGTACCAATGTTTTCACAGTTAAATAACAAAATACCTCTGGAGGTAGCAATGCATGACTTGTGCAAACAACCATTTCTCTTCTCTCTGTAGTAAAGCAGTATGGGAAAACATGGCACGGATGTGTGTGAAAACCCGCCGGTTGGACGTAGCACAAGTGTGCCTGGGGAATATGGGGAATGCCAGAGCATCAAAGGCGGTGAAGGGGGCGGAGGCGGAGCCTGAACCAGAAGCCCAAGTGGCAATGTTAGCCATTCAGCTGGGCATGCTGGTGAGATGTTCATTCATCATGGGTGTCAACACTTTTACTAAATTCAGAACGTGTCATTTCTCTGTTTTTAACTGTAGAATGTACTGGTAGGTTGCTTTTGTAATATGAAAATAAGAAGCAAAAATGATAAACACTGCACAGATTTCTCCCTTCCTTCAGTTATTAAAACTTGATTATTTTCTTCTGTGTTTTTTCATGTATACCCTGCTGTCCAGCATGCAGTAAAACCACATCCTTTGGCTACAAATAGCACATCCTCTTTTTTTAGGTCCGAGCATGTAACCACACACAGACCGCGGGACTTTCCTGACTGGGAACGTTTATCTTTCCATCATCATTTCCTGTCCTTTAACAGGAAGATGCAGAGAAGTTGTACAAGAGCTGTCAGCGCTATGACCTGCTGAACACCTTCTACCAGGCCTCTGGCCAATGGCAGCAGGCTCTGGAGACGGCTGAAACTCACGATCGCATCCACCTGCGCACATCCTACTACAGCTATGCCAGATACCTGGAGTCCATGGGCGATAAGACATTGGCGCTTGCTTAGTAAGATGCAATTGGGGAAACAACTAGTACTTTAGAATTTGCATTCATGTATTACAGATTTAATACTTGTTTGTTTTTTAGTTATGAGAAATCAGACACACACAGGGTGGAGGTGCCCAGAATGCTTCAGGACGACTCGTCATCTCTGGAGATCTACGTCAACAAAATGAAAGATAAGTAAGTTGAGACTGGGACATCTGCAGACAGTGAGACTTGGTGCATGCCATGCAGTAGGTTAGAAACACCAGACCTACCGTCTTATCACTGCAGGAACATCTATAAGTGGTGGGCCCAGTACCTGGAGAGCCAGTCAAACATGGAGGAAGCGCTGCAGCACTATGAGCTCGCTCAGGATTTTCTTTCCCTGGTTCGAGTCCACTGCTACATGGGGGACATTCACCAGGTAGTCGTGTATATTGATTAAGAGGCAAAAATGAAGCATGTTTGTAATATTCCATTTATTTTCCAGGCATCCGAGATAGCCAATAATACGGGAGACAGAGCAGCATCGTATCACTTAGCCAGATATTATGAGGGTCGAGATGACATCACGCAAGCAGTTCACTTCTTTACGCGAGCTCAGGCCTACAACAACGCCATCCGGCTTTGTAAGGTAGGGCTGTCAACGCTTGTGGGTGTTTCAGGAAGTGTGTTTTAAGCAGTTTTGTGTCTGAGCAGGAGAACGGTCTAGATGATCAGCTGATGAACCTGGCTCTGCTCAGTAACCCTGAGGACATGATGGAGGCTGCCTGCTACTACGAGGAGAAAGGCACGCACATGGACCGGGCTGTCGCACTTTATCACAAGGTCTGTTCCATTCAACCAGTTTTCAGCCTTTCATAAGGGGGTCACATTGCTGCATACGTTCATCTTGAGAAAATCAAAACATTTGTTAATTTCTTCCTTCCTTTCCTCCAGGCCGGTTACGTCTCCAAAGCTCTGGAGTTGGCCTTTGCCTCTGACCAGTTGTCTGCTCTCCAGCTCATCGCAGAGGACCTGAATGAGAACTCTGACCCCATACTCCTGGCTCGCTGTTCTGACTTTTTTATCCAACACTCCCAGTATGAGAAGTCAGTGGAGTTGCTGGTTGCAGCCAAGAAGGTACCTGTCTTATGTATTTTCATCCACCAAACCACGACTCGGTTTTTATACTCAAGTGGAATTTTTGTACCTGCTCAGTACCATGAGGCTCTGGAGCTGTGTTTGGCCCAAAACCTGACAATCACCGAGGTTCTGGCTGAGAGTATGACTGCGACAGACTCAAAGGTCGTGTCTGAAGAGGCCCGCAAAGAGCTGCTGGAGAAGATAGCTGACTGCTGCATGCGTCAGGGCAACTACCACCTGGCCACGAAGAAATACACCCAGGCTGGCAACAAGCTCATGGTGACATTATGAACAGTGTGTTTAAAAACTTAGAACATCTCACAGCATTCGGGCTAACGTGAGAAGAAATAATGCTGCTTTAGTCATGTTTCTTATCAGTGGGTTTTCAGCTCGTAATCACATGACCCTGATGCATTTATTTGAATGTTTCTACTTTCACATAAAAAAGTGTAAAGTACAAAAGTTTTAAAATATTTTAACCTGTTTTAATATATTTTGTAATGATACAAAACCAGGGTACACCAGATAGACTTTTTAATTGATAATTGCTTCGTAACCGAACATCAATAAGACATTTTTGGATTTTTTTGCATTAGTTTATTACTTTTTGAAACAACAAGGTGAGGTTCACTCAGATACTGTTTTTTACTTGTTCTTTTTGTCACTCTTGAGTTTTCCATACAGGATGAACATGAAAATAGTCTGTATACATATTTCCTGCGTTATCTTTTAATAGAAAATAGAATTGGGAACTCTCAGGTCAGGAAAAGCCACACAGATCTATGTCACACTGAAAACTAACTTTCTTGGACTCAACCATCTTGACTCACGATGGGGAAGGCTGTTGTTGGTTTAGCCTCCAGGAAAGAGCAGAGCACGTCTCAGCTAGTAGAAGCTAACCATTAGCATTAGCAACCCCACAACACAGCAGAACTCCTCCAGGCTTTTGTTATTTGTGGAAATAAAGCATCAACGTTGCAGAACAAACTGAGTAAGTGGTAGAGTTGCATTGCTGTTATCCAATCAGAGGAGAGATGTCCGAGTATCATGAATATTAAAGGTGTGGATCACTAATTTAATTCATTTGCAGTGGTCTTTAGTAGGAATGAATGCCTTGTAAGGTGTACTCTGAGGAAACGTGCACCAGTTTCAGGAAGTCGAAGTGAGCCACATCAGCAATGAGTTTCAGATGACAGGATTTGGACTTTTGTTTCCTGATATTTGGACACCACTTTTCTGATTGGCTAACAGCTACATGACTACCACTGACTCTGTTTATTTTGCAACATGGATGTTTTATCTCTACAAATAACACAACCCTGAATAAGTTCTGCCTTGTGGTGGAGTTGCTAATGCTAACAGTTAGCTTCTACTAGCAGACGTTCTCTGCTGTTTCCTGAACGCTGAACCAACAAACAGCCTTCCCCATCTTGAGTCAATATGGGTGAGCCCATGAATGTTAAAGTTGGAATATGGAGCATTTTAATTAAAAGCTAATAAAATAAAATAAAATACCTCCACGGGGCGTTCAGAGTTGTGCAGAATGAATGTACAGTTTTTCCTGTTAAAGCTACGTTTAAAAAAACAAATAATCTAAATTTCATTTTGTCGAGCACGATGCTGGGTTTATGTTTACATCCACCAGCCAATAGAGGACTTGATAAGTAAAGCAGCTGATTCTGAGCCCAGAAGATGTTCTAACGGTAAATACTGTTGTAAAATAAACTTATTAGTAGAAATGAGTCCTCATCCTGTACGATTTGTCTCTGAACATGGTGCTGGAACATGTCAGCAGTGAACCAACATCCAGACAGCTGAAAAATTAGTCCTATTGTTGCGATACCACCTCTGAACGCCAGAGTGCCCGTGTTCCAAATTCAACCTTTAATTGATAGTGTGACGTAGTCTGGCTTTTCATATTCTAGAGTTTTACCATCTATTTTCAATCAGAAGCTAATGCTAGGTGTAGGAGACTATAGTTCATGTTCAGCCTGCATGAAAAACTTGGAGTGACCAATTATAATCAGAAATCATAATAAAAAAGTTTTTTTTTCAGTGATCCACACCTTTAATGAGTATAGTCCTCCAAATCCTGCTGTTTTCCACCCTCCCGCTCCTCTGACGTTTACTTCCTGAAACAGAAGTCCAAGAGCTTTTTTCCTCCATAGTAAACAATTCACATCCCTTTCATTCATACAGTGGGTACAGAAAGCATTCAGACCCCTGTCAAATTTTCACTCTTTGTTTTTGTTTTGCAGCCATTTGCTAAAATACAATCTAATGTACACGGCACCCCATGTTGACAGAAAAACACAGAATATTTCTGCTGATTTATTAAAAAAAGACATATCACATGATCCTAAGTATTCAGACCCTTTGCTGTAACACATATATTTAACTCGGATGCTTTCTATTTCTTCTGATCATCCTTGAGATGGTCCTACACCTTCATTGGAGTCCAGCTGTGTTTGATTCTACTGACTGGACTTGATGAGGAAAGCCACACACCTGTCTATATGAGACCTTACAGCTCACCATGCATGTCAGAGCAAATGAGAACCATGAGGTCAAAGGAACCGTCTGAAGAGCTCAGAGACAGAATTGTGAAAAGGCGCAGAAGGCTACAACAGTGGTGCCCCCAAGGGGTGGCCAGAAGTGGCCATGGCCACCACTAAAAAATTTCTCCCTACCCCACTGTCCACACCCAGAGAAGACTGGTGTTCTTCAATTAGTTATATTAATGTTGTTGTTTTTTTTAATGAAAATGAATAAAGGAGGTTCCTAAGAGCATGGTGGCTTCCATAATCCTTTAATGGAAGATGTTTGGGGTGACCAGAACCCTTCGTGGAACAGGCAGTCCTACCAAACTGAGCTATTGGAGGAGAAGAGCCTTGGTGAGAGAGGTAAAGAAGAACCCAAAGGTCACTGTGGCTGAGCTTCAGTGATGCAGTCAGGAGATGGAGAAAGTTGTAGAAAGTCAACCTTCACTGCAGCCCTCCACCAGTCAGGGCTTTATGGCAGTGGTCCGTTGGAAGCCTCTCCTCAGTGCAAGACACATGAAAGCCCACATGAAGTTTGCTAAAAGAAACCTGAAGGACCCAGAGATGGTGAGAAATAAGATTCTCTGGTCTGATGAGACCAAGATAGAACTTTTTGTCCTTAATTCTAAGCGGTATGTGTGGAGAAGACCAGGCATTGCTCATCACTCATCCAATAAAGTCCCATTTTAGCAAATGGCCGCAATATAACAGAGTGAAAAACTGACGGAGGTCTGAATGCTTTCCGTACCCCCGTTCTAGAGACCACAGCAGATTTATTAAAATAATGTTTGTATGCCCTCTTTTACCATATTTTTTTATGTTTACAGTAGCTGTTGTCTTTCCCATTTTTTCTTCTCTGCCTATTTAAAAAAGGGATGATGGAACATGGATTTAACTTTGTTTTAGTCCAAATGTGTTTGGATTTTCTTTTTATGCACTTTTTAAATAATAATGTTCTATTTCAGGCAATGAGAGCACTCCTCAAGTCAGGAGACACAGAGAAAATCATTTTCTTTGCCAACGTTTGTCGTCAGAAGGAGCTGTTCATCATGGCTGCCAACTACCTCCAGTCTCTGGACTGGCGTGAAAGCCCAGAGATCTTAAAGACCATCATTGGTTTCTACACCAGAGGCAAAGCACCGGAGCTGCTCGCTGGCTTCTACGAAGCCTGTGCTCAGGTTGAGCAACACTGTTTGTTTTTGAAAAGACTTTTCACACCATTGTTTGTCTTATTCCATCCCAACAGTTAATATCTGAATATTCAATAAGGCCAAGATTCTGTTTTTAATGTCTTAATATAAGATTAATGTTCTTTTCATGTCTTAAAAGAAGAAGCAAACATTTTTGTCGCTGTGGTGCAGGTGGAGATTGACGATTACCAAAACTATGAAAAGGCTCTGAATGCTTTAACGGAGGCCTTCAAGTGTTTGTCCAAAGCTAAAGACTCTTCAGGAGGACAACAAGAAGTAAGACTAGCGGACCTTCATAACAAGATCAGCCTCATCAAGAAGTTTGTCCACATCCGCAGGTGTGTGAAAAATAAAAATGTCAACTCTGATGTATTTAGACAAGAAAGCGCTGGCCACAGGGAAAAGAGATCACGTTTTGCACGACTGAAGGAAAAGCTGTTGAATAGAAGCGTAGAATTAAAACTAACAGAATGTTTACTCTTCAAGGCTGATGTTATTTTCTCGTTTAAAAGACCATCTTCAGACTGGCTTCCTGATTATTTGATTGTTTTTGTTTTTCATAAATGACTAAATCAGCTGAGAACATTCCTCCCCTTTGCTGCTGACAGTCCAGTTAACATTGAATTCTGGGTTTATCTATTTTATACAGGATTCTCGTCGTGTTAAAAATGTTTTATCTGGTTTATTTTTATGTGTTAGTCGTTGATTCATAAAGCTAATGCTCCTAAATCCTTTCAGTTTGTCAAAACACAAGAGTTCACTTCTCTTTTTGTTGCTGCTTTGTTTTTTGTTGTTTTTTAATAATAAACGTCAGAAAATCCAAATAGTTTATATTCACATTCTTACATGAAGTTATATTTATTCTGGTTTTTTTTCCCCCACTGAGAAATCTTTTTTTCTCCTGAAAAAACGGGTTTTTGTGGTGGTATGTCAGTCTGGGCTTCTCGGTTTATTCATTTATTTACTGTATTTATTTGTTTTGTTTAGTTTGTACTCCAAGGATGCCGACGAGGCGGTTCTGTTATGTGAAGCTCTGCTGGAGGAACCAGAACTGGACCCTGCTGTCAGGATCGGAGATGCTTTTGGTTTCCTTATAGAGCACCACTGTCAGCAGAGGAATTTCCAAACGGTGACTCTTTTCTATCCATTTACTCAGCTGATTTTGTAGAAAAAGCTTTTTGCATGAGTTTATTTAACTCAGAATTAACATATTCAGCAATTTAAAAAATAAGATAGCATCAGAAACATAAAACTACAATAATTTAGGGCCCTTATTTCACTAAGATAAATTATTTCGAGTATCTTCACCATCTAACCTTTGCAAATTGCCCCTGATGGGTGATTTGAATAGATTAAATAAAAATCTCAGATTACTAATTCCAGCAAAGATTTTTGGATTAATTTCTTTTCTGTTTCCTTATGAAAATCTGGTAAACTTTAACAAATTAAAAACATGTTTCTTTTGTTTGAAACAATTCTAAAAATATATAAAATATAAGTTTGTTTTGTTTTTGTGTTTTTCTCTGCAGGCCTACCGGAAGTTGGAGGAGCTGCAGAAACTTCTTCCCTCACAAAATGTCAGATATTACATCAGCCAGTCAAGCTTCAATGCCCTGCAAAAAGAGATGGGAATACCTGCGAAAGTCGACCTCGGGAAAAATCAGAACGAGGACGACGAGGTAGAGGAGGAGCTGCATGAGTCTTAGCGTCATTCTTTACCATTTTCATATAAAAAGGCATTTTCACACTGAATGAAACTGCAGTTTTATTTAAATTTAATCTGATTTACTTGCTGAGCAGAAAAAAACTCATGCTCATTTGCAAACCAGTTTTGAATAGAAAGATGATTTTGAAATACATTTTCAAAATAATAATAATTAAGAAAGCGGCTTATGTACAGGATGGATGAAAGTTGCATTAATATGAGTTTATTTGTAGTTTTTGAGCAGCTTTTGCACCAAAAGGTTCAACTTGATAAACAGATTTTGCCTTCAAGTTAAATCAGTCTTTTTGTGGTTTTCATGCATTTTATACTAAATGTTTCTAACTGAATTGATTTAAAAAGATTCTGTGTCAAAATGTCCAAATCTGTCCTACATTTTGCAGCTATTTTTGATAATCATCTCTATTTGTAACTGGCACTATTTATCTGATACATGGTGAAGTTCATATAATAAAAGAGACTTTTAAACATGAGTTGTGTTGTTTTGGGGGAATAACAGCACAGCCTATAATATCTTTCAATAAGCCAGGCCATTTAAATAGTTAAAAGGGATCTAAGCATAAGTTAAAATTTATTTTTGTGTAAATGTCTCACGTCAACGCTTCAGAAAGACAGGCGTGTCGTCTGATTAGAAGGGTTGAAGAAAAATCGCAGCACAAGTTCACTGAATTAGCTAAAGCAGTAGAAAGCTAGCCTGGCAAGCCAGACTAAATAAATGTATTATTTAGTCTGGCCACGCTCCATTGACGGCTCTCGGTTGTGGGGCGGGTTCTACCGTTGTCTTTCAAATGATCTCCACATTCCACTGGACAAAGAATGTGACATCCTCTTGTTTCACTCTGTTGCATCATCCCACCCACCAGGCATATAGAGTGCCCTGATTGGCCCACAAAGAAGATAAAGCTCTGTGATTTGTTCACTAAGCAGATAGAGCACCATGATTGGCCCACCATTATGGACCAATCACAGCTCTTTATGTGTTTGAAACCCCTCTAGATAGCTGTGATTGGCCAGCCAGAGTCCTGGTAGGAGCTGCAGAGGTTCCAATGGAGCGTGCCTAGACCAAAATTTGCAAAGCAAGAATTTGGTCTAGTTCACTAGGCTAGTAGAAAGCCAAACTGTAGTGACCATTTCCCGTGACACCATACGGCGCACACTGCAGAGGAATGGCTTGCATGGGTATCGTCCATGAAGGAAGCCTCTCCTAAAAGCCCATGCACAAAAAGCACACCTAGGATTTGCTAGGGCCCATGGTGGAACAGATGAAGACTACTGGGACTTTAGGCTCTGGAGTGATGAGACAAAGATAACGGTTTTAGGAACTAATGGTCTCAAAACTGTACAAGAGAAATGCATGGTGCCTACAGTGAAGCATGGTGGTGGCGGTGTCCTTAGTGTTGCTGGTGATGGGGAGCTGCATTTCACTGATGGTATCATGAACTCAACAATGTACTGCTCTATACTGAAGGAGAAGATGCTGACGTCACTGTATACTTGGTCATCGTGCACATTTCCAACACGACAATGATCCAAAAACGCATCTAAAGCTACTGTTGCATTTCTGAAGAAGAACAGAGTGAAGGTGATTGAATGACCAAGTATGTCTCCTGATCTGAACCCAATCCAACACCTGTGGGGAACTCTGAAGCGGCAAGTTGAGCATCACTCTCGTCCAGCATCCAGGCTCTATAAGAGGTTATTCTTGAATGGAAACAGATAGATGTTGCACTATGTAGCCAACTTGTGGTCATACCAAGTCTAGAAGACTTGGTGCTTTATTTTATTTATTTATTTATTTATTTATCTCAAACCACCGAAAACATGAAATTGCATATGCACTCCCCCATATTCCTGGTGCATACAAAAAAAAATTTTTTTTTTTAAATGAGGAATACGATAAACATATGCTGTTGAATGAAACAATACAAAACATACAATAACATAAAACCATTTGAGAGGGAACTGGAAGAAGCAAAAGCTTATCTAGTCCAGCCCCAATTCAGTTAATAAATCACATTTGCTCACATTAACAAGCTGTCCTTGAAAATCATGGTGGTCATACAAAATTCTAGATGTAGTAGTTTTTGTTGTGGAGTATTCTTTTTTGCTTCAACTAGTTTTAGTAAAACTGAAGATTTAGTGATCTAAGTTATGATACTAATCTTAATTTCATGTTATGGAGTTAAACACGTGTTCAATAAAACCCAGCCTTGTGTACACTCTGGAAATTGTTCTTTTGTTCATTGAGCTGCTGATTAAATTCATACTTTTTAACGGGGCGTGTACTCCTTTATGCTGAGAACGGTGGTCAGACAGCAGTTATCCCGCTTATAGTCACACGAGGGCGCTGTTGTCCATCTTTAAGGCACTTTACCAATCATCAAACTTTCAGATTTTCTACGGAGACAAAATAAACTAAAGAATGTTTAGGAAAGGACACATCACAAACCAAATAGATAACTCGATAAATTTATCATAAAAATGCCAAGATACATTTCATAATCCAAAAATTTCTCCAGGATTAAATGGAAAATGTACAAGAGATAGTTTATCTTTGATTTGAAATGTATTTTTTCAAGGTAGACTTGGCCTATAGAAAGTTACAAGCTAAAATATTTAAACTTGTAATACAGTAAGTCATACATGTAATAACCAAAGGAGTCAAATGAACAAAGATGTTAAAATGACCAACGCGACATTATAAAAAGTCAATTTAATGTCAGTTGTTCTGGAATAACAGTAAACTGGTCACATGTGAAATTTGAAATCTTAAAATCTGGTGCAAAAGTTAATGTCAGCAATTCATCTTAAAAGGTGAAACTAATCGATTAGACTCATTAGCCAGAGATCTCAAACCTTTATTTGCTATAATTGTGATGATTATGGCTTGAAGATTTTGAAAGCCCACATTCAAAATCTCAGACAGCTAGAATATTGTAGAAAGGTTCAATATTCTGGACTCAAAGTGTCACTATCTGTCTATGGGCATTCCTCAAGGGTCGATACTGGGCCCAACCTTATTCAAAATCAATGTTATTAATAAATCTAATAATAACATTGTTCATGCTGTTGACAGTTTTCCTATACATTTATATGTGGATGACACCATTTTATATGCATGCAGTTCTTCCTGGAATGCAGTTTTGTCCTCCTTGCAGCACAACTTTAATTGTCTTCAACATGCCTTCTCCAATCTTTATTTTCATTTAAACACAAGTAAAACAAAGTTCATGATTTTCAACCGTAACTTACCGCAATCAACTTTCCGTCCTAGTACTGTTTCCCTGGATGGTACAGAAATACAACTTATAAGTATCTGGGTATCTGGCTTGACACACTTTCATTTGACATTCACATTAATTCATTACTTTGTAAAGTGAAGTCAAGGATTGGGTTTCTATATTGCAACAGGTCATCTTTACTCATTCTGCAAAGCAAACCTTGGTCAAAATGACAATCCTTCTCATCTTACATTATGGTGACATCATTTACAGGACTGCTTCCAATAACTTCTTCATAAACTCGATGTAATTCATCACTCAGCAATCTGTTTAACCACTGGTGCCCTTTTCACTACTCATCACTGTGATCTGTACTCACTTGTTAACTGGCCATGACTCCATTCCCGCAGGTTGTTACATTGGTATCAGTTCATTTACAAAACAATCATCAGTAGAAGAATCCCATCATATCTTCGCTCGTTACTCATCACTTCCAACAACCAGCACATTTTACGTTCCAGTTACTTAATCTCTGGTTATTCCCAAAGCTCACACCTCCTTGCTCCTCATTCCAGTTTGCTGCTTCCAACGACTGGAATGAGCTGCAAAAACCACTGAAGCTCACTACCTACATTCCATTATCTACCTTCAATAATTCATTGCAATCAAAAGTTTCTGATCAACGTATCTGCTTCTGATTACTTAGACTGTTTTAAGTCTGTTTTGATTGCTTATACATATTGTAAATGGGAACAGTCCTTTGTCTTTATGTCTGTTTTATCTTATTTTGATCTTGTTTGTTTTTATCTAATCTGTTTTTCTTTGATGTAAAGCTAACTATGTGCCTGTTGCTGCTGCCTCCAGATCGTCGTTGTAAATGAGAATGAGTTCCGACTCATCTGGTTAAATAACAGTTAAATAAATAAAAATAACAGTCACACGAATCAGCTAATTCGGTGCCATCTTGTCCAGCTCAGTGACCTAGTGGTAGAATGTCCGCCCTGAGACTGGGAGATCGGAGTTCGATTCCTGGTCGGGTCATACCAAAGACTTTGAAAAAGAAGGGACCCAATACCTCGCTGCTTGACACTCAGCATTAAGGGGTTGGATTGAAGGTTCAAACCACCAAATGGTTCCCGAGCGTGGCCGTGTCTGCAGCTCACCGCTCCCTAGTCAAACGCGAAGAACAATTTGCGCACACACATTAGTGTGTGTGACAACTAATGGGATTTTGACTTTAATTTTAACTATATTCTAATTTTTCCAGTTTCACCTGTATGTTCAAACCAATACAACATACTGAAAACCTGTACACCAAATGACCTTTAGGTGGCAGCAAAGAGCTACAAATGTGAAGATTTGAATGAACCACCAGAACGAAGTAATCACAAAGAAACACAAACACAAATAAAACAATAGAAATGAAGAAACTAAAACTCTCAAATGTGTCTTGACAAATGTAAAGAACACAATATCTGAATTTCAGCAGGATGAGTTGGCCCTCTGTTGGAGGGCCAGATAAATGTAAAAGGCTCCTGATAAACAGTTCCCGTTTACGACCAACAGATCATTTCTGCAGACTATAAGCTCTAAAAACTGCACTTTTGTAACCTTTCACTTTAATGTTGCTGCAGCTCTGTGACTTAAATACACATTTTACTGAAGTGTGACTCCTAGAGGGCAGACTTCCACTATCCACAGCACAGATCTGTCCTCCAGGCTGGTCCAAAGGGAAAAAGGAAATGGCGAGGGCAAGAAGAGTTATGTTCTGATGTGTGAGAAAAGGTTTACAATAACTTTTATGTATCTAATTCAAATAACCAAGGAACTTGTGGAGGTGACATTGAAATAAAACAGAAGTAAACGTAGGAGTGACGATGAAAGAAAAAACTTGAAGAACGATTGATCACCTGATTATTTAAATCAGAAGCAGACTCCTTGGAAGCAAAATAAGTTTTAAAATTTTGAAAAAAAGCTAGAGGTTCTTTAAAAAGTTACTGCAGCTCTACAGAAAATAAAACTACCCCTTCTTTAAAAGATGGCACTGAACACACACTTTAAAGCCCCCGTGTGGAAACCAAAACCAGAAAACATGCAGAAAATAAAGAACAGATACGAGGAGAAACAGGAAGAAAAAGTGAAGCGTATCCTTCATCATCATTGCTCAGTCACCAACCATGTGTGTGTGTGTGTGTGTGTGTGTGTGTGTGTGTGTGTGTGTGTGTGTGTGTGTGTGTGTGTGTGTGTGTGTG